GTTTAAATGGACTCTGTAGGCTGTTTGCTACAGTGTGCTGTTTAAATAGACTCAGTAGGCTGTTTGCTACAGCGTGCTGTTTAAATAGACTGCTTGATGATTATATAGGTTTATTTGCTGCAAAATAGACTGTTTTTCATGAGTGCTTCCACCCAGTCTCCAACTGATTGGCATTAAACATGCTAAATCAATGCTGTTCTGTGTTTTATTTGCAGATATGGATGGCCTGGGAAGCAGTGCAGTAGGAGGGCAAATGGTCAGCACAGCAGCAGAACAATCTCCTCTTGCCCAGGAAAAGAACACCCCCGATTCTGTGACTGCAGGTAAAAATTAGGAGCGGGAGTAGGCCACTGAACCTTGGGACCTGCTCCACCATTCAATAAGCTGGTGGCTGATCTGATTGTGGCCTTAACTCCGCTTTTCTGTCTGTGTCATCATAACCCTTGCATCCCTCTAACCCAAGCTTGAATAGATTCAATGACCCAGTCTTCACTGGTCTCTGGGGAGAGACTTCCACACTCTATAGAATCTCTGAGAGAAAGCTAATTCTCTTCACATTAGTCTCAAATGGGAGACTCCTGATTTTTCAATTCTATCCCTGAGTTCTAGTCTCTCCTACATCCTCTCACCAGCCAAGACTTTTGGATCTCACATGTTTCAGTAAGATCACCTCTGTATCTCTATCTTGCCACTTTACACTGAAGAACCGGTTTACTTTCTAGCTCCTTGTGGGAGCCATTCAGACAAAGCAGCTACTAGATTTGAGCTACCAGTGAGTGTTTGTGTTTGTTAAAACCTCACTCAAAAGACCACAATGGAGAAGCTGTGTTTGTTCCCTTTACAGCAGAGAGGGTTCAGAGAAGATTTAATAAAGGTGCTCAATAGTGTGGTAGAGTAATTTACAAAATACTTAAAGGGGTAGACATGGCAGATGTAGGTGAGTCTCTGAACCTCTCTGAAATGGATATTTTTATTTCCTGTATTTTTCTTTATCAGGAATGTGTTTTGCCCGGTTCATTCTGATTGGCTGCTGGAAGAACCTGATTGACACTCTCTCTACTCCCCTGACTGGTCGGGTGGCTGGCAGTTCCAAGGGACTGGCATTCATACTGGGCACAGAGGGCATTAAGGAGCAGAACCAGAAGGAGAGGGATGCCATCTGCATGAGCCTGGATGGTCTCCGCAAAGCAGCTAGGCTCAGCTGTGCACTAGGTATGTGGGTATTGCCTGGCTGTTTTCAGATTTGCTTGTTTTCAGTGCTGGTCCGTCACACTGACATCCCATCCCCATTGCCTCACAGTACTACCTAAAGTATCATATGTACTCAAGTAATAGCCAATCAGTTGTGACGATGCTTGACTTCAAGAGGTGTACTTTGTCCTGGTTTCTTTTAAGATACAGATTGAACAAGAAATGCCAAGCAGTCTGTAGTAACGTAAACAGCTTGTGAAGCCTTGGGGGGATTTTCTCTAAAGTTGGAACAGTAGAAGCAGCCTGGATGGGTGTGGCCAGCCCTCTCAGACCAGGATTTATAGTTTTTTTTTTAGCTTGAAGATTCAGCAGACGCTGCTGGAGACTTGAAGAAGCAGAAGCTATTTTTCCCTCTCTCTCAGTTACAGCTAGATACTGGGGTTTCGAAAACCTACTGCGGGCTTTGCTCATGAGAAAATCTGTTTTCTGAATTTGCCTTTTTGCCCGAGGGGTGTGTTTGTGGGCCTTTACTATATTGCAACAGTTAATTAGCAATACTTACTGTATGTATTATTCTGTTAAGTTTTCCAATAGAGTTAAGTTATTCTAAGTTCTTTCTTTTGTTGTATTTTAACTGTAGTGTTTTGCTTAACGTCGAGTATTTTGACCAATCAAATTGTATCTGGAACACAGCACTTCACATTTACCTTTAAAATAAGAAAAAGTTAGGGTCTAGGCTACCTTCTCAAAATATTCTGAGGGGGCCTGGTCTGGTCCGTAACAAAGTTGACCCCCGATGTTTGGCACAAGCATCCTTTGTTTTACAAGTACCTTGTCTTTGAAGCAGAGTTTGGTCGGAACAGTCAAATGAGTCTTTTTGCTAATTGCTGTTTCCTCTTTTAAATTGTCAGCCAACTAGCAGATAACCTGGGCCAGTCATTTCGTGCTGAGTTCAGGACCATAGCCAGCAACCAGTGCCAGTGTCATTCTTGGCAGTTCCAAAGGTTTGACATGGATTTCAATCCCTCCATAAGACCTTTAGATAGAGTCATTGAGTCATACAGCACGGAAACAGACCCTTTGGTCTAACCAGTCTATGACAAACACAATCCCAAACTAAGTTAGTCCCACCTGCCTGCTCCTGGCCCGTATCCCTCCAAGCCCTTCCTATTTATGTATCTCTCCAAATATCTTTTATGTTGGAGCACAAGTAGGCCATTCAGTTCATCAGATTTTCTCCACCAATCAATGAGATCATGGTTAATGTGATAATCCTCAACTCGAGTTTCCTGCCTTTATTCCATAAGCCGTGATTCCCTTGATGGTGAAAATTTTTTCTTATTTCAGCCTTGAATGTACTTAATGATCCAGCATTGACAACGTCTATGGCAAAGAATTCCACAGATCCACTTCCCTCTGGGAGAAGGAATTCATCCTCATCTCTATCTCATATAGGTGCCTCCTTACTCTGACTCTCCCACAAGGGGAAATAACCTTTCTGCATCTACTCTGGCAAACCCCCTAAGAATCTTGTACATTCCAATAATGTCATCTCTCATTTTCTAAAGGCCAATGAGTATCTGGCCAACATCTCATAAGAAAATCACTTCATACCCAGGATCAGCCTAGTGAACCTTCTCTGGACTGCCTCAAATGTCTATATATCTTTCCTTGGGAAATTGTTCACAGTACTCCATTACTAATTGGGATTTCTTTGTTCTCTAGCAGCACTGGTTGGTCACTGCTGCATCCAATCCACACACTTCATAGTGCTACTAAAATACCATTACTAATGTCTTGTATGATTTTAGCAAGAGCTCCACATTTTTACCCTTTGAAATAAAGGTCAACAGTACATTTGGCTTCCTTAATACCTGCTGAACTTGTATTTTTTTTTTTGTGATTCATGCTCAAGCACCCCCAAAACCACCCAGCACTGTAGCTTTTTGCAGTCTTTCTCCATTCAAATAATATTCAGCTGTTCTATTCTTCCTGCCAAAGTGCACAACCTCACATTTTCCCATACTATATTCCATCTGTTAAGGTTTTGCTCATTCGCTTAACTTGTCTATAAAGGGAAAGTCACATAGTTCCAGAGGGCTGCTGTCTTATTAGAGAGAGATGTCTGGTGGTGGTTTTACCTGAGGGTCACCACACCTCAGGCGAAGGGTGACCTCAGCTAATACGGTCGGTTCTGCTATAACGCATGTTCCTTCATCGTGAATTGGCCTTGATGTGATTCAAGAATTTAGACCGCTATTTGTAGAATGCAAACTTTCCTTACCTACATTGGCTATAACGTGATTCCGGCCCCATTAGCTTCTTATAACGCAAGATCGCACGAGAACGAAACTGTTGCCTTATATCAGAACCGACAGTACAGCAATTGAACCTGCACTGTAAGCATCACTTTCACATCACATTACAAACCTGCTATAGGCAGGGACGTTTTTCACTTGAGAGGCGACCTTAGAGAGGTTTATAAAATAAATGAGGGATATAGATAGGGTTAATAGTAGATGTCTTTTCCCTAGGATGGGGAATTTCAAGACTAAGGGGCACATTCTTATGGTGAGAGGAGAGAGATTTAAAAATGACAGGAGGTGCAATTTTTTTACACAGAGAGTGGTTTGTGTGTGGAATGAATTTCCTGGATGTGGGTACAATTACAACGTTTAAAAGACACTTGGATAAGTACCTGGATAGGAAAGGTTTGGAGAGATATCGGCCAGGAGCAGTGATTTCAGTCACTGATGGAGAGATGATTTGAATTACTCTCTGCTTGGCAAACCAGGACTTTGTGCTCCTTTCACTTAATGTTTCCCTTTGTCTAAAGCTTAAACATTAACCATAGAGAACTAATCCTTTACAAAAGGAGCAGTGAGTGAGAAAGTGAGGAAGGGAGCAGCTGTAACAGACCAAGAGATGTTAAGAATGCAAACATAGAAAGCAAAATGCTGTGGAGACGGAGGAATATCATATAACAAGCAAATACCCCGTGACATTGTTCGTATCATCACTCTAAGGTACACAATGATTGGAGAGGCAGTTTTAGTGTCCTAGTAATATCACCGGTAATCCAGAACCTCAGTCTGATATTTTGGGTTTGAATGGCAAATGGTGAAATTTGACTTAATGAAAAAATCTGGAGTCAGAGCCAACCCAATGGCAACCAGCTAACATTGTTGCTCTCTCATTTTTTCCCCACCGCACGGATGTCCAAAAGTGATGTGCGGAAACAGCTTCTAAAAGCTAATGAGCTGTCACGTTGACATGACCACAATTGTCATTTCAGAAAGGAAATCTGCCACCCTTATCTGGTCTGGCCTACATATTGCTTCAGAGCCACAGCAATGGTGTTGACTGTTTCAATCTGGTCTACTCCACTGGGTAATTAGGAATGAGCAACCAATCCTGGTCTAGCCCAACGCCGCACACATACCACGAATGAATAGGAAGAAGTGAGGCCACACTGCCATCTGGTGGTCACGCCCTACTGAGGGGGCACTCAGGCTTCATCACTTGGCATTTCCAACATTGAACAGTGACATAAAGTAACAAGACCAAAAAATCGGCGCAACAGGGTGTGAAACTCCTGGACAGGAGAAATGTGCATTTGCAAAAGTTTTAGGACTGTATTTGGATAACCATTGTAATTAAAGAAAGATTTACAAGCACCAGATGCCTCAAAGAGTTTTTCGAGCCCTATAGAAATAAAGTTGTTGTTGTATGGTAGGAAAATTGCAGATAATTTGCACACAGTGAGCTCCCATATACTACAGTGAAATAAGAGACTGAATTGTCTCCCCTAGTTTTCTTAAAAATAATGCCGTGGGATCTGCTACATCAAGATGTGCCTTGGTTTAATTTCATCCAAAGACTGAACCACCTACAGCCCAGCACTCACCCAGTACTGCTGTAAAATTTAAGTTTGGCAGTCACAGATTAAACATCAAGGGGATCAAGCTCATAAGTGATTTCAAAGTTGTTTATTAAGAAGAAACAGTTTAAATATTGTGCATAAATTAAATGAATGGAAAAGACACACAAACCCACAACAGATGCAATTCCCTGGCCTCAGAGGATGGATAGATATGTCTTAGTGTTCAATGTCCATTGGCAGGTGCTCCTTCTGTTTCTTGACACAGTGTTCAGTTGTTCTCTGGTTCCCTTCTGTTCGATGAAAGTGCACACTGCCCTCTCGAGCACCCGTTTACAATTCTTATTCCTAGGCACCTGCCCCATGTCAATCACTTCATGGAGCCCAACTGAAAAATTAATGAGGTACCCAGATTGGAAGCTCCCCTCAGGTCTGTCAACCTGCCTCGAGGTCAGCTTATAGCTTATCTGAAGTAAAGTCCCACCTGTTAATTCCTGCCAGACTTATATCTCGACTAGAAGGCACAGGATTCATTCCATTGATTCAGGAAGATCAACCTGTACCAAAACCTTGTCAGGTGACTCAGAAAAAATTATTTTCTTTGGCTGTTATCTTTCTTTACCTCTCTCCCTGGCAGCTCAGAACTATTTTTCTTTCCAAAAGTTGGGAGAAGGGAAGAGAAGCAACATGTGGAAATGTGAATGAGAAACAGGAGTAGGCCATTCGGCCCCTCCATTCTGCTCTGCCATTCAATGAGATCATGACTGTGGCCTCAAACCCACATTCCTGCCCACCCCCATTAACCTTTAACTCCTCTTTTGTATGTTGGTGCATACGTTCGAATCTATTTCCCTTGGTAGTCAAGAATCTATATACCTTAGCCTTAAAAATATCCAATGACCCTGCCTTCACCAGTGCCTGGGCCTAGAGAATTCCATAGACTTAGAACCCCTGAGAGAGAAAAAAATCCTCCTCATCCCCTTTTCAAAAAGTTTTTTAAAGTGTGCCCTCTAGTTTCAGTCTCTCCCAAAGTGGAAACATCCCTTCAGCACCCACCCTGTCAAATCCCCTCAGGATCTTATGTATTTCAACCTTCTGTATACGGTCCACAATTCTAAATTCCTAAATCTACTACTATTTTTCCTGTCAGACTGGTTCACCGTGAATGTGTTGCCACTGGGCTATAGTTGACTCCTGTAGGTGACCTATTTTGAAACTTATCATGCCAACATTGGCCAGTGTGATTCATGTGGTCCTATTATCTTCGAGGTTTGTTGTTGTGTCAGTAAAAAAGCTCTCGTAAATGGATTGGCAATTTCACCAATGCTTGACTTGAGCCACTCAATTACAGGTTGAATTCCCAGGAGACAGTGGGTTCACTCATCTCGGACAGAGTAGTGCTTGGGCTGCTGCTTGGCAACCCCAGGTCAGGGGGATTCCTGCTCTGAATTGCTTTCCAGGAGATTCCTACTGGAATTGTGATTGCCCTGGTTTTACAGCAACTCACATCAAACCTTGGCTGCAATTTGTCAGGATGCAATGCAACAAATGCACAAGAACCCTATGAACATGAAAGATGTGAAGCTGATAGAGCAGTTTCTAGAGTGCAGAGGATTGTGGGTAATGTGGCAGCCATTGTTCATAGTATCATAGAATCATGTAGTACACAAAAGATGCTTTGGCCAATCAAGTCTGTATCACCAAAAACATACTATTACCTACACTAGTCCCACTTTTCCACACTAGGCCCATGGTTTTGAATGTTATGCCACCTCAAGGACTCAACAAAATACTTTTTTAAAGTTTGGAAGGCTTCTTGCCTCAACTATCCACCAACGCAGTGCATCCAGATTCCCACCATCCTAAGGGTGAAAAGGTTTTTCCTAAAATCTCCTCTAAACTTCCTGCTTTTCACTTTAAAATTATGCCCCCTTGTTATTGACCCTTCGACTAAGGGGAACAGCTGTCATCTAGTCGTCTGTCCATGCCCCTCATAATCGTATACACATCTATCTGGTCCCCCTCAGTTCCAGAGAAAGCAACCTAAACTTATCCAGCTTGTCTTCACCAGCTAAAATGCTCCATCCCAGGCAACATCCTGATGAATCTCCTTTGCACCCCCTCCAGTATGTTCACATCCTTCCTATAATGTGGTGACCAGAACTGTATGCAGTATTCCAGCTGGGGTCTAACCAAACTTCTGTACAGCTCCACATGAGCTCCCTTCTCTTATGAACTATGCCTCAACAGATAAAGGCAAGCATCCCATACGCCTCTGAACTACATAAATAATCTGTCCTTTCAACTTCAGGGATCTGTGGACAAGCACCCCAAGATCCCTCTGTTCCTCTGAGGTGCCTTGTGTCTTGCCATTCATTGAGTACTCCCTTGTCTTGCTCCTTCTTCCAAAGTGTATTGTCCAACATTTATCAGGGTTAAATCCCATCTGGCACTGATCTGACCACCTAACCAACCTCTTTATATCCTGCTATAAGCGAACACCTTCCACCACTGACACCCATCTGGCAATTGACTGACTGCAGCGATGATTGTTGTGTTGGGTGATCTTTCTTGGGGCCTTCCAATGTTAGAGGTGGGAGTCACATGACAAAGCTTTACACAACACAGATCCCGGTTGGCAACCCAAACTGGCAACAGTTTGAGGAACGTTAAACCATGGAGATCAGTTTGAGGAATGTTAAATGATGGGGGACTGAGTTTGAGAAATGTTAAATGATAGAGAGATCAGTTTGAGGAATGTTAAATAATGGGGGATCAGTTTGAGGAATGTTAAATGATGGAGAGATCAGTTTGAGGAACGTTAAATGATGGGGAGATCAGTTTGAGGAATGTTAAATGATGGGAGGATCAGTTTGAGGAATATTAAATGATGGGAGGATCAGTTTGAGGAATGTTAAATGATGGGCAGATCAGTTTGAGGAATGTTAAATGATGGGGGAGGTCAGCTTAAAGAATGTTAAATGATGCAGAGCTCAGTTTGAGGAATATTGAAGATGGGGGTTCAGTTTCAGGAACGTTAAATGATGGGAGTCACATTGAAGAATGTTAAATGATAGAGGGCTCAATTTGAGGAATGTTAGACAATGGGCGGGGTCAATTTCAGGAATGTTAAATGACAGGGGGCTCAATTTGAGGAATGTTAAACAATAGGGGTCAGTTTGAGGAATGTTAAACAATGGGGTAAGCTCAGATGCTCAACTTGGACAGGTCATGAAGAGATGCCCTGTTAAAAATCATATGTGAAGCCACTGTGATGTCTGGCTAGAGTGTGATCACACTCTGGTAAAGAAACATTCTGCTTAGGAGGGTAGAGATTTTTCAGAATCTATACGCGCGCGCACACACACACACACACACACACACACACACACAGGTACGCACATTCCTCAGTTACTTGCATGTGCACACACACATTCACACACAGATGCACACAGTTGCATACACCTGTGCTCACTCATACACGCTATTCGCTAGACTAAAACAATAACTTTTGGACAATTTCATGGTGAGTTAATGTTACTGAAATATAAACTTTCTTTTGTAGGTGTTGCAGCCAATTGTGCCTCAGCCCTTGCACAGATGTCAGCAGCATCATGTGTCCAGGATGAGAAGGAGGAGAAGGAAACCCCTGAGACCACTGACCCCATTGCACAAGGTACTAAAGATCCACACATGGCAGGAACATAGTTCCTTAGTGAGACCATGTGCAGTTTTGAAGGAAGGATGTTCTGGCTGTGGAGGGAGTGCAACAAAGGTTTTCCAGACTGATTCCTGGGATGGCAGAGTTGACATATGAAGTTAGACTGGATCAGTTAAACCAAAGTCTACTGGTGTTTAGGAGAATGGTGGTGGGGGGGGGTCCTATCTTATAGAAGCCTTGAAAACTCTACTAGGACTAGACAGGGTAAACACAGGAAGGATGTTCCTGATGACTGGGGAGTCCAGAAGTCACAGTCTAAGGTTATGGTTTAGGCCACTTAGGGCTGAGATGAGGAGAAATGTCTTCACTCGGAGAGTGGTGAGCCTGTGGAATTCTCTGCCACAGGAAACAGTTGAACCTGAAACATTGAATGCTTTCAAGAAGGAGTTGGATATAATTTTTTGGGCTAAAGGGATCAAAGGGTATGGGGAGAAAGAGGGAACAGGAGACTGAGTTGGATGATTGGTTCTGATCATATTGAATGCGGAGCAAGCTTGAAGGGCCGAATGGCCAACCACTGCTTTTTTCTGTGTTTCTACATTCATATGTTTATCTGCCTGGGCTTCCTATGGTGCTGCCATGAGCTCAGAGTGGGAGAGGGTCACTTACTGATGCCATGATATAGATGCAGGCTGATTTTCTGTTGTATCTCCACAGTGAAGCAGAAAGTGGAGCAGAAGCTGGAGCAGATTGGGCGGCCACAGGGTGTTCAGCTCCACACGGCCCATGTTCTCTGCATGGACGCCATCCTCAGTGTGGGGCTGGAGATGGGCAGTCACAATGCGGACTGCTGGCAACACGTCTTCAGGTATCGTCCACGATGTGATCCCAGATGGTGCTCAGTCACATTTCCCCCTGAGTGAAGCAGGAATCTTCAGGAGGCATTAGGAAGGCTTGCTGAAGGGTCATTGCCCAGAGCACAGGAGTGAAGGAAACAATAGCAGGAAAGAGAAGCTGGATCAGAAAGTAGCAGCTAGATGGGACTAGACTTTGAGGAGCAGCCTGCCATAGCAGAAACATTATAGTTTTGTAAAGTACTATGGCTTACCAACCCAACTGTGAATTCTATTCCCCAATCCTTTTCTGTTCACTAAATGCAAATGACAGAGGAACTGGGGTAGGACCAGTTTCGTGGTCACACTAGGTACCCCTTACTTCCATACCAGTTACCTCAAGTCTCTGGGCTCAACACACGGAGAACGGTAGGGCCTTGGGAATCTCTGGCAACAGCCCCTAGCTTTCCCAGTGGATTGGGAGAGTCTTGTTGCAATCCCCTCGCTCTCCAATTAGACCCCAGAACATAATGTGCTGAAGTCCCTCAAGGTTGAGCAGAAATCTTCAGTTGGTCTCTTGCCCCAGATGTCAGGGTACCTCTAGGATCCCTGAGGGGCCCTGTAACTCCAGCCCGATCACTGGCTTCCCCGGCAGATCTAGCTGCATCCTTGCTGTGTTCAAATCATTGCAGAGACTCTAAAAATTAATTTATTTACACTGTATGTACATGTGGTGCCATGGAATCAATTTAATTCAATTGGCTGGTCAGTGGTGCCAACAATTGGATTCAATTCCTGAAGTGGCTAAAGTTACCATCTTCTTCTCAACCTCTCCACTCCCCTGAGGTGTGGTGACCCTCAGGGTAAACCACCACTAGTTCTCTCTATCTCTCTCTCTCTATATGATGAGAGAGCAGCTCTGTGGTCTGGTAAGACTATAGTGACTTTTCACTCATAATGCCAAGTGAAACCACTTTGCAGGAAAACCCAGGCCTTTTAAGGGGATGACCATGACCTAGTGGTAACATCACTCCCGTAGTAACCTTGAAGCCCAGGTTTATTTGGAATCAAATCCCAGGAATATTGAATAAATTTTGAACTGAAAATCAAGTTCAGTAATGTTGGCATGGACCTATCATTGATTGTTGTAAAAACCCATCTTGGTTCACCAATGGCCTTTAGAGATTATAAATTCTGTCAGTATTAGTAACTGCAGACCCACAGCAATGTGTTTGATTCTCAATCACCCTCTGAAATGGCCTAGCCACTCAAGGGGTTCAAGGACAATTAGGGACGGGCAATAATATTTTTAAAAAATTCATTCAGGTTGTGGGAATCAGTGGCTGGGCCAGCATTTACTGCCTATTCTTAATTGGTCAGAGAGTGGTTAAGAGTGAACTCCGTTGCTGTGGTCTGGAGTCACATGTAGGCCAGACCAGATAAGGATGGCAGATATCCTTCCCTAAAGAACATTAGGGAACCAGATAAGTTTTTACGACAATTGACAGTGGTTACATGGTCACCATTAGGCCAGCTCTTTATTCCAGATTTTACTGAAGTCAAATTTCGTCATCATTATGGTGGGATTTGAATTTATTGTCCCCAGAACATTGGCCTGGGGTCCTAATCAGGTGACATCACCACTATACTACCATGCCCACAAAAATTAGAGAATTTCTCTAAAGAAATGAATTATCAGTATCCAGTTTCCCCACTGCTTGTGAAATAGCAAGTGGTTGCATGTTATGAGACTTGAAAGGGTTCAGAAATGATTTACAAGGATGTTCTCAGGGTTGGAGGGTTTGAGTCATTGGGAGAGGCTGAATAGGCTGGGGCTATTTTCCTTGGAGTGTCGGAGGCTGAAGGGTGACCTTATAGAGGTTTATAAAATCATGAGGGGCATGGATAAATGAATAGTCAAGGCCTTTTCCCTGGGGTAGGGGAATCTAAAACTAGAAGGCATAGGTTTAAGGTGAGAGTGGAAAGATCTAAAAGGGTCCTAAGGGGCAACTTTTTCATGCAGAGGTGGTGTGTGTATGGAACGAGCTGCCAGAGGAAGTGGTGGAAGCTGGTACAATCACAGCATTTAAAAGGCATCTGGATGGGTATATGAATAGGAAGGGTTTAGAGGGATATGGGCCAAATACTGGCAAATGGGTCTAGATTAATTTAAGATACCTGGTCAGCATGGACAAGTTGGACTGGAGGGTCATACATACATCTGTATGACTCTATAGTTTACAGTGTGGTTCAGTGCCAGGGGAATCAGCTGTAAATGTGTTTCCATTTCTCTGTACAGAGTGTGCGAGTACATCAGTACGTTGGAGCACAGTCAGTTCAGTGACGGAGGCTCGCAGCCTCCCATCACCATCACACAGGCACAGCAGGCATCCAGCTCCCTGCAGCCTGCAGACATAGCACTGAACTCCATCAAGAACCCCAGCACCGAGCTGGACACCAATATCGGCAACCCCGTCATTCAGGCGGTCACCATTCAGGAGCTGATCAAGGACAACTGCAAGGGGAAGGCATTTGACTTCCGGGGAGGAGGCGTGTTGAACGGGAACAATGCGGCCAGGGCTGTCTGCACACTCTCCACACTGGCTGACAAGTAAGCACATGGGAGTCTTGGCCAAGGTATACTGCACCCTTCGTGAAATTCCTATGGGAAAGCCTAAGGAAATGTCCAGTATGTCAATGTATGTGAGTGAATCCAGGGCCTATAGATCTCAGAATCATTCAGTCATGTGTGACTCTGCCCACAAGGAGCTCCCTCGTTCATTGTCTCTGATGCTTCATCCTAAGCCGTTCTCTTTGCTGTTTTAGTCAATAGTGGTTTGCCATTCCCTTCCAATCTTGTGAGCAGAATGAGGAGGCAGGTCCTTACTCCTGTGGTGCTGCTGAACAATTATAGAATCATACAGCACAGAAGAGGCCCTTCAGCCCATCAAGAATGTACTGCCAAAGCTACACTAAACCTACACTCATCCCACTTTCCAGCACTAGGCCCATAGCCTTGAATATGACATTTCAAGTGCTCATCCGAGTCCTTTTTAAATGTTACGAGGCTTCGCACCTCAATGACCCTCCCAGGCCCTGTTAAGTCTGCTGGGGTAAGGAGAAGATTCACATTTATTTCAGAAACATTTGACAGTTATTTCACTTTGCCATATGCAGTCTCCAAGTCAATGCAGGATCATGTCACATGGTATCACTTCCTGTAATTGTATATGCTGTCTCATTAGCAGGTAACACAGTGAGACACAGCATAATTCACCCAATATAAAATAGTCATTAATAAATCCAATAGGGAGTTCAGGAGAAACATCATTATGCAAAGAGTGGTGAGATTATGGAACTTGCTACCAGTTCTGTCAAATACCCATTGTCTGCACTGTGGTTAAAAGTTTAGATTATGTTATTATTGGCTGGAAATTTGGGTTATAAATGCATTTTTTTTTGGTTTGCAGTTCTGAGAAGGTAATTTGTTTATTTGTTAAAGGGTCAGAATCTCATTTTATTTAGCAATGGGTCAAAATAGCATTTACAAGAAATCAAGTGACTAAATCTAAATGACTAGGTAAGCTACCTAGTGAGGTAATTTTTGAAACGTTTACAAAGTTGAACTTTTACAACTCAGAAACAAAAGTCGGAGGCAGGTTTAGTTCAGAAGAAATGATATATACCAGCAGATCTGCTGTTTAGCAGTCTCAAAATAGTCAAAGTAGCTGGGAAAAAAAAAACCTGAGTTTTTCCCCTTAGAGTTCAGCGAGAGAAGTCAATGAATTAGCCTGTGTCTCTGATTCTCCAAAAGAGACTGAAAGGATCATTCCTGTTGAATGTGTAAAAGTTCACCAAAAGGAAGGAAACACTTGCAACCTTGTCAGTTTAGTTAGAAATTGAAGAGTGAAGATCAGATTGATAATTCAGAGGTTGAGTATCTGTAAAGGATATTGTTGGGAATATAGTTGTTTATGATAAAATATTTAAAAGTTGCCTTTTTTTTCTTATTCTTTGTGTAATATGTTATTTTGTTAAAAGTACATTGGCAGCCTCTTGTAAATATGATCAGTGACTGGCCACTATGGTAATAAAATGACAGAAGTAAAAGTTATGATCTATCAAGTCAGGTTGTACTTTGAGATCTGATGTGTCCAGTATTGCCATCACCTGGGATCATAACAACTGCAAATACTTTGTAATTCAAAATATTCATACTTTTCATAGTGTCAATACGGCTCTGAAGGGTGCTGTTCAGACCATTGAGTCCATGCTAGTTCTTTGTAGAGTCCCATTTCCTCTGGTCCTGCAAATTGATTTCCCTCGAGTGGTCATCCAGTTTCCTTTGGAAATCATCGATCATCTCTGCTTTCACAGTAGGCAGTGGGTTGCAGCTCATTACCAATTGCTGTGTAAAGTCCACACACCCTGCCTCTCCTCTTCATAGCATTAAGAAAATTATTAAGAAGTAACTAAATGGTTTGCCTTCTATTCAGTTTTCCTCAGATACATCAAGCAGCATTGGGTGAAAAGTTAATTAATGTTGGAACTGTAACTCTGATTTAGATTTAGGTTTTAGATTTTATTGTCATGTGTACTCAAGTACAGAAGTACAGGAGTACAGTGAAAAGTGTTTAATGTCGCCACACATGGTGCCATCTTAGGTACTGAATACCTAGGTACAAAAAAAACATAGGTACAAGGTAGAAAGAGAAATGAGAGTTAAAAAGTGGTGGATGATTTATTGTGCAAATACTCAATTTTTTGACCCAAAATTCTTTTTTTTAATATTCATTCACAGGATATGGGCATCACTGGCTAGGCCAGCATTTATTGCCCAGAGGGCGGTTAAGAATCAACTGCCTTGCTGTTGTACAACAGCTTATGTTTCTATGGTGTATGAAATGCAGAAAAAACACTCATAGGTACTTCACAAGAGAGTAATCAAACAAAAATGGATGCTAAGCCAAAGATGATGACATTAAGGAAGGTGCTTGAGAGCTCGGTTGAGAACAGAAGCTACATCTGGTCATGACTATTCTAACACACTCCTGCCTGGCCTCCCACATACCACCCTCTATAAACTTGAGGTCATCCACAACTCTGCTACCCTTGTCTTTTCTCCTACCAAGTCCCACTCCCCTGTGCTCGCTGACCTACATTGGTTCTCAGTTAAACAATGTCTTGATTTTAAAATTCACATCCTCGTTTTCAAATCCTGATTTCTGGAATCTCTTTCAGCTGTCTAACCCTGTGAAGTACCTGTGCTGCTCTAATTCTGGCCTCTGGAGATGCCTCAGCTTTATTCACTCCACCGTGATTGGCCATGCCTACACCGTAAATTCTGGAATTCGCTCTCTAAACTCTCTGCCTTTCTACCTCTTTGTTCTTTGGCCACAGTGGTATCTACCTTCCCTACTAGCTGCTTATGTGGCTTAGTGCCATGTTTTGTTTTATAATGCTCCTGTGAAGCACCTTGGGATGTTTCATTAAGTGAAAAGTGCTAGGTAAATATAAGTTGTTGTTAAGGACCATTGGAAGAATGGCGGAATAGGTAGAGAGGTTTAGCGATTGGAATTTCAGGGAATATGGGACTGAAACGTGGGCAAACTGATGCACGAAAGAAAGCAAGACAATGTTTACCACAAGGCCCACATGGAGAGAACTATTGGTAAAATCCTTTGAAAGAGTGAGACACAAAGTCTGAGCAAGAGAGCATAGAGTCATAGCAATGTACAGCAGGGAAATAGACCCTTTGGTCCTACTCGTCCATGCTGACTAGATATCCTAAATTAATCTGGTCCCATTTGCCAGCATTTGGCCCATGTCCCTCAAAACTCTTCCTATTCATATACCCACACAGATGCCTTTTAAATGTTGTAATTGTACCAGCCTCCTCCACTTCCTTCGGCAGCCCATTCCATACACACACCACGCTCATGGTGGAAAAGTTGCCTATTTAGATCCCTTTTAAATCATTCCCCTCTCACCTTAAACCTATGCCCTCTAGTTATGGACGCCTCTATCCTGGGGAAAAGACCTTGGCTATTCACCCTATCCATGCCCTTCATGATTTTATAAACCTCTATAAGGTCACCTCTCAGCCTCCGATGCTCCAGGAAAAATAGCGCCAGCCTATTCAGCCCCTCCCTTTAGCTGAAACCCTGAAGATAAGACAATAAAATTCTGGTGTGGGAAAAACCGACAGGACAGACCTTATCACCTCACTAATCACAATTGGCAGTTCATTTTGTTAGGAATAACACAGACGATTAAACAAGGAGTACAATTCTAAAGGATGTTCAGAAACAGAGGAATCGGGTGGGGGGAGGTTAAATTCTTTTCAAAAGCCAATAAAATCAAATGAATCAATTAATTTAAGAGGCAACCCTTTGTGTTGAAGCAAACTAAAAGCTGAATTCCAAAGGAATTTAAAATCAAATTTAAATTAAAATATTACTCGGAGGGGAGATATTGCACTCCAGCCTCAGTGATGTCCACAGGTTACAGAACACCTTGAGTGTACCAGTGGGCACCATGTGCTGCCTGTCCTAAGGGGCACATGGGCATGGACGTAGCCATGGAACAGAGGCAGTCGGATCTAATGACATCCTCGATGGCCCACTGACTGACCCTGTTAATGGATGCTGTGGAGCAGACCCAGGAGCCGACGCACAACGGGATCCTCCAGACTACCAGAACCCCCTCCGTACTAGGTGGCCAAAGGTCAGACTTGTGGGACTGAAATGCTACTGAATATATGAAGGAGGAACCTTTAACTAAAGAAACCAGGGGTTGGGGGGGTGGTGGTGCAGTTGTTTTAACCTGACACAAGCTGCCTGAACATGGGGCTTCAAAGCCGTAGGAGTATGGGCAGTTTAGGACCCCTTCAACTATCTCAACCTTCTACCACCCAGCACTGTGGTGTTCACCTCTGTGCATTATATGTGAGCATAAATCTTTCATAGGGTAGTGCAGGATGCCAATAAAATATATAACATCATGGACTTATTATGAAGGCCATAGAATGCAAAAGCAAGGAAATTATGTAAAGCATGTATAGAATTTTGGACTTCTGCATCCAGATTTGGCCCTACTCTTTTGAAAGATGTGATGGCTTTACAGGGAGTGCAGAATAAATTGATGAGGAAGGTTGCAGGGATGAGAAGTCTCAGTTACAGAGGTAGAGTGGAGAAGTTGGGACTGTTCTGCTGTTGAGAGGTTCAAAATCATGAAGGGATAGGGACAAACTGTTACCACTGGTCTAAGAATCAAATAGAACAGGAACAGATTGAAGATAATTGGCAAAAGAAACAATTGAAACAGGAGGAGGAACTCGTTCACACAGGGAGTGTTTGCCTGAGAATGCAGTAGAGACAGATTCAATCAAAACGTTCAGGAGGGAACTAGATTGTTGTCTGGAAAGGAAGAATGTGGTGGGCTACAGGGAGAGAGTAGGAGAATGATATGAAGTGAGCTGTTCATTCGGAGAGGTGGTGCAGACATAGTGGACCGAATGGCCTCCTTCCATACTGTAGCAATTCTGTATGATACTGTGATTCTGCAATTTCACAAAATCACAGAAGTGTTGTGGCACAGAAGGACACCATTCAGCCCATTGTGCCTGTTCCAGTTTTTCAAATGAACATTTTAACCAAGAGCCAATCTCCTGCCTATTCCTCATACCCTTGTGCACTATTTCTATCCCAGTAATCATCCAAAGCTCCTCTTAAATTCCTCCATTGAACCTGTCTCCACCATATTTCTAGGCAGCATACTCCTTACCCTAACCACTCACTGTATGAAAAGGATTTTCTTTACTCCACATTTGCTTCATTTGCAATTCACTTTAAATCTGTGCCCTCCTGTTCTTGATCATTTTACAAACAGAAACAGTTTCTGCATACCTACTCTATCCAGCTTGCTCGTGGCTTTGAAACCCTCTTAACATATAATCTCTTAGCCTTCTTCTTTCCAAGGAGAAGAGTCCCACCCTCTTCAATCCATCCTCATAACTGATGTTTCTCACCATTTACTCTTTCATTTTTCTCTTCTTCAATCTATCTCACTCTTCCTTTTCTCTCTCCCCTCTTCCTTCTGCCCCCCCTCTCTCGCAGGTTATTTGAAGATGCTGCTGTGAAGCTGAATCTCAACGCTCTGGTGGGATTTCTCAATCAGCTGAGGAAAGTGTCACAGGCTCAACTCTTTGACTCTGTTACAGAAACTGTGGACTACTCACTAGCAATGCCAGGTAACACTCAGCAGTTCTTCTAACCTTCTATCACTCCCTACAGTGAGGTAGCTGGGTTACTGGTTTAGACTTCAGTGACCAAAGCAGTTTTAAGCACAAATGTGGAGCAGACAGAAATGTCCGCCCTGTAAGCTGTGTAAGCCCAGGGTAATTGACCGGTTCCTGGGATGGCAGGACTGATGCATGATGAGAGACTTGAATCAGTTAGGACTGTATTCACGCAAGTTTAGAAGAATGAAGGGGAATCTGGTATAAGCCTATAAAATTCTAACAGGACTAGACAGGGTATGCATAGGAAGGATGTTCCCGTTGACTGAGGAGTCAAGTGGATGACTATTTTGGCTTCAATCACCTTTTCTACTTACGTTGCCACTTTCAGGGAACTGAATGCCTAGATCCCTCTGTATGTTAATGCTTCTCAGGATTCTGCCATTTACTGTATACTTCTCTCCTGCATTAGAAATTCCAAAATGCATCACCTCACATTTGTCCGGATTAAATTCCATCTGCCATTTCTCCGCCCAAGTCTCCAGCCTGTCTTTATCCTGCTGTATCCGCTGGCAATCCTCCTCACTATCCGCAGCTCCCCCAACCTTTGTGTCGTCTGCAAACTTTGGTGAGCCCATGGAATTCTCTGTCACATAAAGCAGTACAGGGCAAAACATTGAATGTTTCCAAGAAGGATGGTAGAATGAAGAGGTTGGGTCTGATCTCCTTGTAGAGAAGAAGGCCTGGGGGGGATTTGATAGGGGTTTTCAAAATCACGAGGGGGATGGATAAAGTAGATAAGGAGAAACGTTTTCACACAGTGAATAGTTAGGTTATGGAATGCACTGCCTGGAAATGTGGTGGAGGCAGGTTCCACTGGGGTGCACAGAAGAGAGCATTTGATGATTATTAAACAGAAATGGTATGCAGACATATGGGGAAAAGGCAGGAGATTGGCACTAGGTAATAGATAGGCCAAATACCCTCCTCCTGTGTGTTAACACTTCTGTTATTCTGTGATTCAATGAAGGAGTTAGGTATAGTTCTTAGTGTAAAATGGATGAAAGGATATGGAGAGAAAGTGGGTACTGAATTGGATGATAAGCCATAATCATATGAAATGGTGGAGGCTTGAAGGGCCAAATGGCCTACTCCTGCTCCTATTTCCTATGTTTCTATGAATTACTAAATGTGACAAGACTTATGATCCATTGCGTTCACACCTACCCAGGCAATCTCGTGGTACATAATCGTGGAGTTGCTGACTAGTGACAGTGATTAGCCTTTATCACAGAGTGTGTCTATGATAGAGTCAACCCTGGGGATGGGGAGGTGTGGGGACTCACCCATCAGTTGGAGACAGCCTTGCGTTGCCTGTATCTGACATGGCCCCTTGGATGAAGTGCACTTAACTAGGCATTGGTGGGCCCTCTGTGGACCAAAGACTCTGAGAGAATAAGTTCCTTTTTCTTGGAGAGCTGTTTGCCAGTTTGAGGCTTAGCAGTGCCACCAGGAAGACAGTGGCTGTTGTCGGTACTACAGCCACCCAAGGGCCAAGATCCCTGATGGACCCAAACATGGGAGAGTAATGGCGGCTGGACTGCAGTGAATTATAGTTCACAGGGAGCAGAGTCAAGAGGTGGCTCTCAGTGGAACAATGCCAGATCCCTCCATTGGACACCAAATGCCTTTGAATGAGGAGCTCCATACCCACCAGCAGCCTGTCAAGGTTTACTTTCTGGGCTTCCTGTGTGGCAAGTCACAACTCATGGGCGAGGCTGCACCCCACGGAGGCCAGGCCGAGCATCCACAAAGAAAGCTTCAGCTGTTGAGGGCAACAAGAACTGTTTTCCTGTTGGCTGGCTACTGGACCATGATCTCTAAGTGTTCAGGCCATAGTGAAGTGTATGGACTAGACAGAATGGGAAGAGCTGTGGTCTGTGTGACCTCCACTAGTGATCAGTGTGTTTTTCTCCTTAGGGTACAGGCAGGGAAGATATACACAAGTTTGTTAAATGTGTCAGGGCACGTTGAGAAAGGAATCCGGAATGCTGGGCCTTATAAGTATGGACACAGAATCTTGCATGTCTGGTTGAGAAGGATAAGGAAGGAAAGTTAACCCTTAGTCCCAGCTGTTATTTATGACATTGATGAGAACGGATGTGGTTGGTTTTTAATTCCTTCTGCTCTGGTCGACAGGAGACGCTAGATCTACCCACGAACAGAGGAGTGGTCTACATCTCTTCCGACTTGGTGACGTGATGCTCCGAATTGTGCGGAGCCGGTCCCGTCCTCTCTTGCACCTCATGAAGACCTGGAGTGTGGTGGGCCCTCACTTAGCAGAGGTAAGTACCAATTCCATTCCTGTATTCCCACTGTCAGGGGACTGACCTCGTTGGCCTTTGGTATCCACCCCAAGTGTAGTGCTGAGGGAGTGCCGCACTGTCTGGGGAGTTTGCTTTCAGATAAGAAATTAACCCGAGACTCTCTCTGCCCCCTCGGATGCACATATCTGAAAGGAGAGCAGGGGAGCTCTGCGCGGTATCCCGATCAATGGTTTGTCCCTTGTCTAATATCAGTGATCTGATCATTAACAACATTGTGGCTAATTGGGCACATTACAAATGGTGGCTACACTCACAATTTGAGGAAGATATCTGCTCAGGGTTGTGAGTTGCGGTGGGTTTGGGGCTGTTTTGGATGCCCCATGGGGTAGTGGAATCCAGAGTTCAGGATTTACCTCTTTCGCTTTCCTTGTCAATTTCCCCTGTGCCTCATTGTTAACGCATTTGGACGCAAAATTCAAATGGACAAGTTGTCGTCACTTTGAACAGATTGGTCATAAACTCCTGCCAGATCTGAGGAAAAGATCATTGACCTGAAAGATTAACTTGCTGCCTGCTGTTACTAACCTTCCTGGATCCATTTCCTACAAATATTTTCTTATTTTTATGTTGATACATGATGACTTCTGGAAATCTTCATCAGCTGAGAACTGAAGTAGTTTTTTAATATAATATGTTTTTCTCTCCTTTAGTTTCATTGGAACTAAATAAGGATTTTTTGCTTTGTCCAGGCTGCCTGTCACAAGGAGAGGCACATTTCCCAGAAAGCCGTTTCCTTTATCCATGATATTCTGACTGAAGTTCTAACTGACTGGAATGAGCTGCCATATTTTCACTTCAACGAGGCCCTTTTCCGACCATTTGAACACATCATGCAGTTGGAACTATGTGACGAAGATGTGCAAGATCAGGTAGGATACGATGTCAGCTGGTAAACGTCACCAGCCACAATTCCCCCTGTTAGTTCCCCTGACCAAGCTATGAAGGATCCAGCCCTGAGGTTCTCACAGCTCTCAGGTCTTGGCTGATGTGATTCCTGGGCTCCTGGTTACCATGAAGCCTAGGCCTAGTCATTTACTGACTCCCAGATTTCTGCCTACAGTGGCACTGTGTTGAGTTTTAGGGCCTTTGGTCAGTGGACTTGAAGGCTACCTTCCCACTATCCACCAGTATCTGGCCTGTCTGAGCGTTATAGGGGATGGGAGCAGGGGATGCTGTCAGACAGTCCATCATCCTAGGGCCCATTGAGGTCCTAAAGTGGTTAGCTTTAGTTGGGGCTCATATGGGACAAAAACCCTCCCTCTCTTTGAACTCCCTCCAACTCTCCTCAGTGTTTGATGACCTTTTGTGAATCACCAAGTTAGGAGTTAATAATTACTTTAGAAAGTCACCAGAACAAGCTAGAAGGCTTAAAGTAGGGCAGTTTGCAAAGACAGTGTTTGTATTAAAATTTAAGTGTAGGAAGTTATGAGTTTGATCTGATTGAGGCACTTACAATGATGGAAGGAGTTAGTAGGAAGATGGAAAAGGGGCAGAATAAGAGGGCATACCCTTAAAATTAGAGTTGGGCCATTTATGGATATTGTCGGGAAGCAACTCTTCAAATGATGGGAACCTGTAGCTTGCTCTTCCCAGGAATCTTTAGAGACTGATGGGAGGAGCAGGAAATCAGTTAAACACATCAAAACAGGATTCAATTGAATTTCACTAACCAGGAATATTAAGGTTTGCAGAGCTGAGCAGGGTAATTAGAAGTAAGACCATAAAATCCAGGAGCAGAAGTAGACCATTTGGTCCATTGGGTTTGCTGTGCCATTCAGTGAGATCATAGCTGATCTGGTAACCCTTAACTTCACTTTCCTGCCTTTTCCCCATAACCTTCAAGCCCCTTACTGATTACAAACCTGTCTGTTGCAGCATTGAATATACTTAATGACCCAGCCCCAACAGCTCTCTGCAGTAAAGAATTCCATAGATTTCTCAGATTTCCACAGAAGAAATACCTCCTTATCTCTGTCTTAAATGTGTGCCACCTTATTCTGAGATGATGCCGTCTGGTCCTAGACTCTCCCACAAAGGAAACAACTTATCCATATCAAGTCCTGTATGAATTTTCTCTACATTGGTCTCCTGTACATTGGGGAAACAAAGCACAGACTGGGTGACTGCTTTGCAGAATGCCCACGTTCTGTCTGCTAAAAAGCTCTGGTTGTCTGCCACTTCAACACACCACTGTGTTCCCCAGCCAACATCACTGTCTCAGACTCGCTGCAGTGCTCCAGTGAAGCTCAGTGCAAGCTGAAAGAACAGCACCTCATTTTCCGCTTGGGAACTCTGCAGACTTCAGCACTGAATATCGAGTTCAACAATTTTAGGGCCTGAGTGCCTTCCCCCATGCTTTTCCCTTACCCCACCCATAAGGCCTTGTCACCATATGGGCTGCTACCACACACAACCCATTGTCAGCTACAAATAGTCCTCATTAGCAACTGTTCATTTGCCCAGACTGACCTTTATCCCGCCCTTTGTCTGTTCAACTGTTTTTCACTCTCTTTGGGCTCTATCTCCACCTATCGTTTACTCCTCCCCCTCCCCCCGTTCCATCTTATACATAAAAACCAACCTTGATCTAACTACCGTCAGTTCTGAAGAAGGGTCACTGGACCCTGGAAACGTTGACTCTGATTTCTCTCTCCATAGATGCTGCCTGACCTGCTGAGTTTCTCCAGCAATTTCTGTTTTTGTCTCTGATTTCCAGCATCCACAGTTCCTTCAGTTGTTTTTCCTCTAAAAACCATGTATGTCTCAAGCAGTAAATCATAAATGAGAGATGTAACAGGCATAAGGGGCTGTACTTCTTTTCCAAACTTCCCGTTTGCTTCCTTTCTCTCTTTTGATTCTGTAGAGAGGCACACCTTGAGAACTGCTGCTCAGACAACATGGCACAGTCAAATCTCAGATTGGCCGGTTCTTGTTGGTTGAGGGTAATAGGGTGATGGAAGAAACCTGGGCAGGTGGGGTTAGGATGCAGATCAACCCCCAATCTCGAACTGAACAGCAGAACAGGCTCAAGGGGCTGAGCGGCCACTTCTTGCATTCTTCAATGTAAGAATGGGGAAGGAGGAGCAGGGAGGTTATGGGGTAACCATCACTATAAAAATGGACATTAAATTTATGGGACAAAAACAGAAGATCCTGGAAAAGCTCTGGCAGCATCAGTGAAGAGAAAATCAGAGTTAACGTTTCGGGTCCGGTGACCCTTCCTCAGAACTGGGCTTCAATTTATGGGCTCAGAGATAGTAGGAACTGCCGATGCTGGAGAATCTGAGATAGTAAGGTGTAGAGCTGGATGAACACAGCAGGCCAAGCAGCATCAGAGGAGCAGGAAAGCTGACGTTTCAGATCTGGACCGTTCTTCAGAAAATGAAGCTCCTCCTTCCTCATTCTTACATTGAAGAAAGCAAGAAGTGGCCGCTCAGCCCCTTGAGTCTGTTCTGCCGTTCAGTTCGAGCTTGGGGGTTGATCTGCATCCTAACCCCACCTGCCCTTTTCTGAAGAAGGGTCCAGACCCAAAATTAGGGGAGGCACGGTGGCACAGTGGTTAGCACTGCTGCCTCACAGTGCCAGGGACCAGGGTTCAATTCCGTCCTCAGGCGACTGTCTGTGTGGAGTTTGTACATTCTCCCCGTGTCTGCAAGGGTTTCCTCTGGGTGTTCCGGTTTCCTCCCATAGTCCAAAGATGTGCAAGCTAGGTGGATTGGCCGTGCTAAATTGCCCATGGTGTTCAGGGATTTGTACATTAGGTGGATTATAGGGGGATGGGTTTGGGTGAGTGCTTTGAGGGTTGGCGTGGACTTGTTGGGCTGAAGGGCCTGTTTCCACACTGTAGGGATTCTATTCTATGAAATGTCAGCTTTCCTGCTCCTCTGATGCTGCCTGGCCTGCTGTGTTCATCCAGCTCTACACCTTGTTATCTTCAATTTATGGGCTTCTGCTTTTTAGGTGATCACATCGATTGGAGAGCTGGTGGAGGTTTGCTCCCCACAGATTCAGTCTGGCTGGCGACCACTCTTCAGTGCATTGAAGACCGTGCACAGTAACAAGTCTGATGTGAAGGAATATCTGATTGGTGACTACTCAATGGGTGAGTAAAGTAATGAGTACTCTCCCCAACCAGCACTGACTGTACTGTCTAACAGCTCATCTGAGTCATTGATACAATACCGTTTCATTAAGAGAAGTGATAAGAAATATTAGTTTATATTTGAAATGTTCAACAATTGCTCGTAATTATTTAGCTCAGAGTTACTGTTCTATTTCTCTTACGCCACTAATTCCGTTATTATAAATCCTGCATTTACTACATTGTCATTAACTATCTCTCATTTATAACACTGACTCTGTGGCATACCATTCCTTGCTGCCATAAGCTCCCATGAATAGCTTATTGCTCCTGTCAGAACAACAGCATGTTCTTATTTCTCAGCCAACAGTGCTCAGTCACAAACTCTGCTCCCTAGCCACCAGTTCCATCCTTCCCCCAGTTTTGTTCCGAGACAGAATCAGACTTTCTGCAACCCTAGATCCATGTTTGACCCTAAAATGAACTTAAAACTGCATATCTGCACCTATTCAGACCTCTGTCTCATTGTCCAACACTGCCTCAGCTCAGCTACAGCTGAAACCTTGCTTTTATTACCTCTAATCTTGACTATTCTAAGGCATTTGGTCTCCCACATTCTACCTTCTCCCAGTGTTTGTGGGAGCTCACTGAACTCAAACTGACTGTAGAATTTCCCACTCTGTAACATTGACTACATTTGAAAAGTACTCTGTTGGCTGCAAAGTGCAGTGGGATGTCCAGCAGTTGTGACCTATGCAATATAAATGCAAGTCTTTCATTTGTTTATACCACTCAGTATTTGATGCTTTTCCTCCCATTATATGACATTACAGCTAGAAGGTTATACTAACACTATGATACACTCCCTTCACGATGAAGATTACAATGATAGCACAATCATTCACTCTCTTTATAATGCTGCCAGTTATAATACTGTGTAGTACCTTTGCATTTAGTCTAACATTCGCCCAGCTGAAGCAATGCCTTTGTGAGAAGTCTCATCAAAAGCCTCTCAGTTTTGGATGTGTATTGTTATTAAAAGGCTAAAACGGACCTGACCTGTAAATGTTCTGTGCTGTATTATCAACAGTGTTATTGCCATAACGGGGCTGTAGGAGCAGTGGTTATATGAAGCACCTTGGGATGTTTAATTACAGGAAGGCACTGAAAGTTGTTACTGAGCTAGCAATTTGGAAACCTGGGCTAATAATCCTGTGACCTGAGTTCAACCCCTGCCTCAGATGCTGGAAAATTTATTTCAAATTCACAAAATAAATTAGAATAAAAGTAATGATATAAAGGAAACCACTACATTTTTTGTAATCTGGTTCATTAATGCCCCTTTAAGAAAGGAAATCTGCCATCCTCACCCAGCCTGGTCTACATGTGACTCCAAGCCCACGACAACGTGGTTGGCACTTATCTGTCCTTTGAACTGGCCTAGCAACCCATTCAGTTGTCTCAAGGGGCAAATAGGGATGGTGGAACTCTGATCCAGAAAGAGATTGTAACTCCTATGGGGACTGGTTCCCAGATAAAGAAGAAAGAAAATTACAGAACAGGAACAGGCCCTTCGGCCCTCCAAGCCCGCACTGACATGCAGCCCATCACAACTAAAACCCCCTACCCTTCCGGGGACCGTATCCCTCTATTCCCATCCTATTCATATATTTGTCAAGACGCCCTTTAAAAGTCACTATAGCATCTGCTTCCACTACCTCCCCTGGCAGTGAGTTCCAGGCACTTATCACCCCCTGTGTAAAAAACTTGCCTCGTATATCAAAATATCTGGCTACGATGGAGTTTGGTTACAGGCTGACGGACTGTGTTTGCTGTCATGTGATGAGTGGCTTTGTTTGTCGACAGGGAAGTCCCAGGCTCCGGTTTTTGATGTCTTTGAAGCATTCCTCAACACGGATAACATTCAAGTGTTTGCTAACGCAGCCACTGACTACATAATGTGCCTTATGAAGTTTGTCAAGGGTTTGGGTAAGCTTGCTGTTATGGAAAATTAAGACTTTGTTCACACAATGATTAAAAAATTTACAGCACTGATATTACAAATTTGATCCATGAATTAGATTGCTTCAGAGCCTCATTTAGACCAAGTCTCCAGTGATGAATGCAATCAAGAAGTTGCCACTGAAAGTGTGCACATTTGAAATAAAAGCAGAGATATGATCAGGCTTCATTGTGATGGCCTAAATTGGCATATTGTGAGGAATTGGGCAATACTCCAAGAGGGTGATCCACATCTTTGGTTCCTGTGTGGTCTGGAGTCACGTGTGTAACATAAAAACATACAAAATAGGAGCAAACTAGGCCATTCAGCCCTACAAGCTTGCTCTACCATTCAGTAGGATCATGGCTGATCATCCAATTTAGTCCTGTGCTCCCTCTTTCTCATCATACTTTTTGATGTTTTTAACCCTAAGGGCAATATCTATCTCCTTCTTGAAAACATTCAATGTTTTGGCCTCAAACGCTTTCTGTGGCAGAGAATTCCGCAGACTTACCACTCTCTAGGTGAAGAATTTTTTCTGTCAGTCCTAAATGGCCTACCTCATATCCTCAGACTGTAACCCTAAGTTCTGGATTCCCAGGTCATTGGGAACATCCTTCCTGTCTAATCCTGTTAGAACTTTATAGGTTTCTCTGAAATCCCACTCTCACTCTTCTGAACTCCAGTGAATATAGTCCTGACCGATCCAATCTCTCTTCATGCCTCAGTCCTGCCATCACAGGAATCAGTTTGGTAAATCTTTGTTGCACTCCCTCCGTAGCCAAGAATATCCTTCCTCAGATAAAGAGACCAAAACTGCACCCAATACTCCGCTTTTTGGTCTCACCAAGGCCCTGTACTAGTGCAATAAATCATACCTGCTCCTGTACTCGAATGTTGGGGTGGATTAGCTCAGTTGGCCGGACAGTTGGTTTGTGATACAGTGATGCCTCCTGTGTGGATTCAATACCATGAAGGACTCTCCTTCTCAACCTCTCCCCTCACCTGACATCATAGAATCATAGAATCCCTACAGTGTGGAAACAGGCCCTTTGGCCCAACAAGTCCACACCGACCCTCAAAGCGTCCCACCCAGACCCATTCCCCAATAACTCACCTGATCTACACATCCCTGAACACTGTGGGCAATTTAGCATGGCCAATCCACCTAGCCTGCACGTCTTTGGACTGTGGGAGGAAATGTGGTCACCCTCAGCTTAAACTACCACCAGTTATCCCTTCCTAATGAGAGAGCAGCCCTATAGTTTGGTAAGACTATGTTGACTTAACCTTTGCTCGAATGTAGGGCAAGAGTTAACGCTTTCAGGAAAACTGTAGGAAAGAAACCAAAATAACCAATAGTGTGTGTTTCAAATGATTGCGAACCACTGAAGTTAATACTGTTTTTTTTAAAATACGTTTGAAGGTGATGAAGATTGTAAAGAAATAGGGGATTGCTATCCTGGTTTGGGATCCAGTTCCACAGATTTGTGCCTTCCCGCCCTCGATTACCTCAGGAAGTGTTCACAGGTAAAGACTATTCCCAGACATTGCTTAAAGAAAGACAGTCGATTTGGATTGGGTTCCTTGCTTAAATCAATAACATTTTGGCCCAGGAGATTGATGATTTTGGCAGGAATACCCTATGATCAAATGAAAAGGGAGAATGCCAGAGAAGCTCAGCAGGTCTGGCTGTATATATGGAGGAAGAAACCGAGTTAATATTTATGAACAAAAACAGAAATTGCTGGAAAAGCTCAGCAGGTCTGGCAGCATCTGTGGAGAGAAATCAGAGTTAACATCTCAGGGCAAGTGATCCTTCCTCAGAACTGGTTTTTATTTAATGTTTTTGAACATGCTCAATGTTAGCAGGGGAGAGTGTAGTGACTAAAAACAAAAGAAAGAACTGCGGATGGTGTAAATCAGGAACCAAAACAGAAGTTCTTTGAAAAGCCCAGCAGATCTGGCAGCATCTATGAATCAAAAAACAGTGTTTACGTTTCGGGTCCGGTGACCCTTCCTCAGAACTGAGAGTGCAGTGACTGTCTGTCCACTTTCTGGCCCTGAGTTGAATGGCGCTATGCGCTGACCAGAATTGGCAGTTCCAGGATAACCAGTGATCTCCGGTGCTAGGGTAAGCAGTATGTTTTGGGGGGGGATTCTGATTTAGAGGTGTTCAGTCATAATCCCTAGCTGTCTAGGTGCACTGTGTTACAGCTGACTCTGGAAACCTGCGTTGCTGTGGCAATATAAACTTTTACATACGGGCTGTAATCTGGAGCTATGGGCGGTGACGGTTGAGGCGCCAATTTCTTTTCATATGTGTTTGACCAGGAATCTCTCCTGTCCTTACCATTTGCTTTTGGTGTGTGTCAGAAGGATTTGCAGGTTGATCCTCAACTTATTTGACCCCGTTCTGAGCATACCTTCCTTGGCCATCAAGTGGGACTCGACCTGGAGCCTCTGGCTTAGAGGTAGGGACACTACCCACTGCAACCTCCTTGCTCAAAAAAAACACAACCTACAACCACTCCACACAAAGAGAACTAAGAACAAAGAAAATTACAGCACAGGAACAGGCCCTTTGGCCCTCCAAGCCTGCGCCGATCCAGATCCTCTATCTAAACCTGTCGCCTATTTTCCAAGGATCTGTATCCCTCTCCTCCCTGTCCATTCATGTATCTTTCTAGATGCATCTTAAATGATGCTATCGTGCCCGCCTCTATCACCTCCGCTGGCAACGCGTTCCAGGCACCCACCACCCTCTGTGTAAAGAACTTTCCACGCATATCTCCCTTAAACTTTTCCCCTGTCACCTTGAAATCGTGACCCCTAGTAATTGAGTCCCCCACTCTGGGAAAAAGCTTCTTGCTATCCACCCTGTCTATACCTCCCATGATTTTGTAGACCTCAATCAGGTCCCCCCTCAACCTCCGTCTTTCTAATGTAAATAATCTACTCAACCTCTCTTCATAGCTAGCACCCTCCATACCAGGCAACATCCTGGTGAACTCCTCTGCACCCTCTCCAACACATCCACATCCTTTTGGTAATGTGGTGACCAGAACTGTACGCAGTATTCCAAATGTAGTCGAACCAAAGTCCTATACAACTGTAATATGACCTGCCAACTCTTGTACTCAATACCCTGTCCGATGAATGAAAGCATGCCATATGCCTTCTTGACCACTCTATCGACCTGCGTTGCCACCTTCAGGGTACAATGGACCTGAACACCCAGATCTCTCTGTGTATCAATTTTCCCCAGGGCTTTTCCATTTACCGTATAGTTCGCTCTTGAATTGGATCTTCCAAAATGCATCACCTCGCATTTGCCTGGATTGAACTCCATCTGCCATTTTTCCGCCCAACTCTCCAATCTATCTATATTCTGCTGCATTCTCCGACAGTCCCCTTCACTATCTGCTACTCCACCAATCTCAGTGTCATCTGCAAACTTGCTAATCAGACTATCTATACCTTCCTCCAGATCATTTATGTATATCACAAACAACAGTGGTCCCAACATGGATCCCTGTGGAACATCACTGGTCACGTTTCTCCATTTTGAGAAACTCCCTTCCACTACAACTCTCTGTCTCCTGTTGCCCAGCCAGTTCTCTATCCATCTAGTTAGTACACCCTGGACCCCATGCGACTTCACTTTTCCCATCAGCCTACCATGGGGAACCTTATCAAACGCCTTACTGAAGTCCATGTATATGATGTCTACAGCCCTTCCCTCATCTATCAACTTTGTCACTTCCTCAAAGAATTCTATCAAGTTGGTAAGACATGACCTTCTCTGCACAAAACCATGCTGCCCATCATTAATAAGCCCATTTTCTTCCAAATGTAAATAGATCCTATCCCTCAGTATCTTCTCCAGCAGTTTCCCCACCACTGACGTCAGGCTCACTGGTCTATAATTACCTGGATTATCCTTGCTACCCTTCTTAAACAAGGGGACAACATTAGCAATTCTCCAGTCCTCTGGGACCTCACCCGTGCTCAAGGATGCTGCAAAGATATCTGTTAAGGCCCCAGCTATTTCCTCTCTTGCTTCCCTCAATAACCTGGGATAGATCCCATCCGAACCTGGGGACTTGTCCACCCTAACGCCTTTTAGAATACCCAACACTTCTCCCTCCTTATGCCAACTTCACCTAGAGTAATCAAACATCTATCCCTAACCTCAACATTCGTCATGTCCCTCTCTCGGTGAATACCAACGCAAAGTACTCATTAAGAATCTCACTCATTTTCTCTGACTCCTCGCATAACTTCCCTCCTTTGTCCTTGGGTGGGCCAACCCTTTCTCTAGTTATCCTCTTGCTTCTTATATACAAATAAAAGGCTTTGGGATTTTCCTTAACCCTGTTTGCTAAAGATATTTCATGACCCCTTTTAGCCCTCTTAGTTCCTCGTTTCAGATTGGTCCTGCTTTCCTGATATTCTTCCAAAGCTTGGTCTGTTTTCAGTTGCCTAGACCTTATGTATGCTTCCTTTTTCCTCTTTGCTAGTCCCACAATTTCACCTGTCATCCATGGTTCCCTAATCTTGCCCTTTCTATCCCTCATTTTCACAGGGACATGTCTGTCCTGCACTCTAATCAACCTCTCTTTAAAAGCCTCCCACATACCAAATGTGGATTTACCCTCAAACAGCCGCTCCCAATCCACATTCCCCAGCTCCTGCCAAATTTTGCTTTAGTTGGCCTTCTCCCAATTCAGCACTCTTCCTTTAGGACCACTCTCGTCTTTGTCCATGAGTATTGTACAACTTACGGAATTGTGATCACTATTCCCAAAGTAATCCCCTGCTGAAACTTCAACCACCTGGCCAGGCTCATTCCCCAACACCAGGTCCAGTATGGCCCCTTCCTGAGTTGGACTATTTACATACTGCTCTATAAAACCCTCCTGGATGCTCCTTACAAATTCTGCTCCATCTAAATCCCTAACACTAAGTGAATCCCAGTCAATGTTGGGAAAATTAAAATCTCCCTTCACCAACACCCTGTTGCTCCTACATCTTTCCATAATCTGTCTACATATTTGTACCTCTATCTCACGCTCGCTGTTGGGAGGCCTGTAGTACAGCCCCAACATTGTTAGTGCACCCTTCCTATTTCTGAGCTCTGCCCATATTGCCTCACTGCTCGAGTCCTCCACCGTGCCCTCCTTCAGCACAGCTGTGATATCCTCTTTGACCAGTAATGCAACTCCTCCACCCCTTTTACCTCCCTCTCTATCCCACCTGAAGCATTTATATCCTGGGATATTTAGTTGCCAATCTTGCCCTTCCCTCAACCAAGTCTCAGTAATAGCAATAACATCATACTCCCAGGTACTAATCCAAGCCCTAAGTTCATCTGCCTTACCTGCTACACTTCTCACATTAAAACAAATGCGCCTCAGACCACCTGTCCCTTTGTGTTCATCATCTGCTCTCTGCCTACTCTTCTCCTTTGTCACACTGACTTCATTATCTAGTTCCTTACAGGCTTTAGTTACTATCTTCTCACTGTCCACTAACCTCCTCATTTGGTTCCCAACCCATTGCCACATTAGTTTAAACCCTCCCCAACAGCGTTAGCAAAAGCACCCCCTAGGACATTGATTCCAGTCCTGCCCAGGTGTAGACCATCTGATTTGTAATAGTCCCACCTCCCCCAGAACTGGCGCCAATGTCCCAAAATTCTGAACCCCTCCCTCCTGCACCATCTCTCAAGCCACTCATTTATTCTGCCTATTCTTTCATTTCTACTCTGACTAGCACATGGCACTGGTCCATTTTTGCAGCAGCAGCAGGAGCAGTGAGACCGAGGACCAGGGGGCTGCCAGGAGGTAAGTTTCCCATTTAAATACTTACCTCGTGGAATCAGCGGCCTCCATTTTTGCAGCAGCAGCGGGAGTGGTGAGACCGAGGACCAGGGGGCTGCCGGGAAAGTAAGTCCTTCATTTCGGCAACGGAGCTGAGCGGGAGCGGTCGAATTGCGCTCTGGGAAGGTGAGTGAACTGATATATTTGGGCAGTGGCTAAGGGGGAGGGTGAACAACCAGCTGTCATGATGCATATAGGCACCAATGATATAGGTAATAAATGGGATGAGGTCCTACAAGCAGAATGTAGGGAGTTAGGAGCCAAGTTTAAAAGTAGGACCTCAGAGGTAGTAATCTCAGGATTACTAGCACCTATCACACAAGGCAAATGATGTCCTGGGAAAAGGACTCTCCAAGTAGGAATTCCCACTTTTGGGCCTCAGTCGAGGCTGCCAGACCTACTGAGTTTCTGCAGCAGTCCCTCTGTTTGTTTTAGGTTTCCAGCAGCAACAATATTTTACCTTGATTATATTGGCGTGTTTTTTTTTCATTTGAACATCCAATTCAACACCAAATCTTGTACGATGTTCCTGCTTGTTCTGTTTACCCAGACTCTGACACCTGGGGCTTGTGTTAAGTTCACACTATTTCCCATGCTTGTCTGTAACTCTGCATTCAGTGTCTTGTCCTTACTCAGTCCTGGGGTTCTACCTATCCTTGACCATATTGAATCACCTTCGGCTCAGTGGGTAGCTGTGCCCTCGCTGAAGGAGAAGGTTGTGGATTCGAGCCCTAAACACTTGAACACACATTTCAGCGCTGACAATGCAATGTAATATTTGCTGTGGGGAAGATGGGACAGTAGAATGGAACACTATCTTTCAGATTTTTATTATTCACTCGTGGGACATGGGTGTCGTTGGCTGGGCCAGTATTTATTGCCCGTCCCTAGTTGCCCCCTTGAGAAGGTGGTGGTGAGCTGCCTTCTTGAACCACTGCAGTCCTCCTGCTGTGGGTTGACTCACAATGCCTTTAGGGAGAGAATTCCAGGATTTTGACCCAGCGACACTGGTGGAACGGTGATATATTTCCAAGTCAGGATGGTGAGTGGCATGGAGAGAAACCTGCAGGTGGTGGTGTTCCCATGTATCTAGTGCCCTTGTCCTTCTAGATGGAAGTGGTCGTGGGTTTGGAAGGTGCTGTCTGAGGACCTTTGGTGAATTTCTGCAGCGCATCTTGTGGATAATGCACACCGCTGCTACTGAGCATCGGTGGTGGAGTGAGTGGAAGCTTATGGATGTAATGCCAATCAAGTGGGCTGCTTTGTCCTGGATGGTGTCAAGCTTCTTGTGTGTTGTTAATGCAGCACCCATCCAGGACAATTGGGAAGTATTCCATCACCCTCCTGACTTGTCCTTTGTAGATGGTGGACAGGCTTTGGGGAGTCAGGAGGTGAGTTACTCACCACAGTATTCCTAGCCTCTGACCTGCTGTTGTAGTCACTGTGTTTATGTGGTGAGTCCAGTTGAGTTGCTGATCAATGGTAACCCCCATTGAGAGATTCAGTGGTGATAATGTCATTGACTATCAAGTAGCAGTGGTTAGACTGACTCTTATTGGAGGTGGTCCTTGCCTGGCATTTGTGTGGCGCATATGTTACTTGTCCCTATTCAGCCCAAGTCTGGATATTGTCCAGATCATGTTGCATTTGAACATGGACAGCTTCAGGATCAAATCCCTCGCTGTGTCGATGTAACCACTAATTTCAGAGAAGAATCATCTGGTGCCCAGGCCAGCACTTATCCCCAGTACACACACGACACAGAACAAAGTGACTGCTCACCTGTTTCTTTGGTGATTGTGGGATCTTGCTGTGTATAATTTGGCTGCTGAGTTTCCTAAATGACACTTCAAAAATAATTATTTGATTGAGATGCGGGATTGATGGCTTTGAAGAGCACTATCCAAATGTAAGTGGTTTCTCTCCCAGGCTCTGGGATTGTGTTTTTAAGCAAATTTTTAATTGTTTCATGCAGAAACCTGAGAGATTAGTCATAGGCTCGTTCATGTCTGTCCCAAACTAAACCCTCTCATCTCTCGTGTCAGAGTATCCAAAGACCCAGGCCAGTGCTCTGGGGTTGTGGGTTCAAATCTCATCACGGCAGCTGATGGCTTTTGAGAGCACTTGTTGCACAATGGCAGTGTCCCCGTCTCTGAACTAGGAGGCCTGGGTTTAAGTCCCACCTGCACCAGAGATGTGTGGTAACATCTCTAAATAAGGTAATCAGAAACTGAGCTGGATGACCTTTCCCTGGAGATTAAATTACCAATATAAAACTGAAACCAGTGAGACCATTAAACTGTAAACATAGGCCATTCAGCCCATCGAGTCTGCTGTGCCATTCAGTGAGAATCAGTGAGATCTTAGCTGATCTGATAATCCTCCACTCCAGTTCCTGCTCTTCGCCTCTTAACCCATGGTAATGGGAGCATAGCATGATGGGGAAAGTCATTTAGCCTCTCAAGCCCGTTCTGTCATTCAATGAAATCATGGCTGGTCAACTCTATTACCCGTCCTGTTCCATAATATCCTTGCCAAATCTTTACTTTTAAATAATGGCTTAGTTTTAAACCCTTTTCAATTTATTCCCAGCCTCAATAGCTTGATGAAGGGAATGCGAGTTCCAGATTTTCTCCACCCTTTGTGTAAGGAGGTTTCTTCATGACATTCAGATCTGTTTTTGGTCATTTGTGTGTTGGATTGTACCTCCTTAGTTACTTGCCAAAATATACAAGATGCCTTCAAAGCCGATTTTCCATGGGCTGCAACTTGCCAGCTTGCCGTTCAGAGGCCCCGAGAGATCACTGAGCAGCGAAGATGGGATTGAGTCAGTCCTGAATGAGTTCGACGATGACACAGGTAAAGGGATTACTCTCTTTATAAAATCGTGGTCCTTAATAATTGAAAAGAACACGTATTGGACACTTGGGTTCACTTCCATGTTTTATGTTCAAGATCACAGAATCACACGTCCCAGAAGGAGACCATTCTGCCCATCTTGCCTATACTGAGTCTTGGGTGGAGCCATGTTTCTCGACCGACTCCACAAATCTTTCCCCACAGCCCTGCAGCTTTCTCCTTTTAAAGTTATCGTCTAATGCTCTTTTGAAAGTTGCTACTGCATCTGCTTTCAGTCTCCAAACCCGGCATCTACTTATTAAAGTTCCCTGACATATGAAAATATTGTGTTACCTTTTACAGAGTACAGTGTTTCCCTGGATAAAGATGTCTCACCTCATGTCACCTCTACTAAAGCTGTTCCCTCTCATTCTCCCTCCGCCTGCCCCCTCCTTCTTTGCACTCTCTTTCCAGTTACCATTCACTCCTCCCCCAGCTGCCTCTTTGCACTTACCCCTCACTCCTACCCCAGCTGCCTCTTTCCACTTACCCCTCACTCCCCCCCGAGCTGCCTGTATCCACTTAGCACTTGCTCTTGCCCCAGCTGCCTCTCTCCACTTACCCCTTGCTCCCCCCAGCTGCCTCTCTCACTTACCCCTCGCTCCCCCCAGCTGCCTCTCTCCACTTACCCCTCGTTCCTCCCCAGCTGCCTCGCTCTAAATCATTTTACAGTCAACATCATTAACAAACGGAATACCTGGATCTCATCACATTGCAGTTTGTAGGAACCTACTGTGTGGAAATTGGCTGCAGTGTTTGCTTCACTTTATGGACAATTTAGTATTTTTTTTAAAGTGCTTTACAATATCTGGTGTCTATGAACATAAGAACACAAGAACTAAGAACAACAGGAGGCCATTCAGCCCCTCAAGCCTTCTCTGCCATTTAAAACAATCATGGCTGATCTCATCTCAGGCTCAAATACACTTTCCTGTCCACTCTCCATAACCCTTCAACCCGCCACTAATTAAAAATCTGCCTATCTCCTCCTTAAATTTACTCGATGTTGCAGCTACACTCTGGGGGAGTAAAATCCACAGATTCACGACCCTTTGAGAGAAGTAACTTCTTCTCATCTCTGTTTTAAATCTGCCACCCATTATCCTATACAACTATGACCTCGCATTTTATATTATCCCACATGAGGAAGCGTCCTCTCTCTGCCTAGTTTGTCAATCCCCTTTAGCATCTTATATACCTCAATTAGATTTCTCATCCTTCTAGACTATAGACAGAATAGGCCTAAACTGCTCAACCTCTGTTCATAAAACAAAAACCTCACTCCTGGAATCAATCTAGTGAATCTCCTCTGAACCACCTCCAGTGTAATTACATCCCTCCTCAAGTATGTGGACCAAATCTGTATGCAATAATCCAAGCGTGGCTCACTAATGAAAGACGTTATATAAATATGTGTGTTTCTCTTTAGTGACCACCATAAAGAAACACAAAATAACTCATTATGAGGCACTGTCACTTTGTAAATGTTAGGTGGAGAAGTCAGAAACTTTTCCAATAACTACCTGGTGTCTAATTCTTTGTATAATTGTGGAAGGACATAGTGTTTTAAAAGTGTTAAACATTGTCCAACACACATGAAGACCAATAAAGCCAATGTGATGAAAATCCCTTTCCTGTTTCCTTTGTGTTGTAAAGTTTCCTGGCCATTGCAGTTTGACTGCTGTGCGGTGCCTCCTGGTAACTGAATGACTGGGTGGTGATTCTCTCGCAGGTTTGATTCAAGTCTGGATTCTGTTGCTGGAGCAGCTCACCACAGCCATCTCCAACTGTCCACGCCAGCACCAGCCTCCCACGTTGGATCTCCTGTTTGAGCTGCTGCGAGAAGTCACTAAAGTACCAGGTAGTGAGAATGAGATGGGCACAGGGCTACAGGATTGGCACTCCTGCACTGCCATCAATGGGGCAACTCGTTTGCTCAGACAGTGGGTTGACTATGTTTGCACCCTTAAACAGTCTAACAGAAATATCGTCATCTCACCTTCACAATCTACTCTTTCATCCTCCTGCATGTGCAGCCCTGACTTATAACTTGGTGTTTGCTGCATGGGCAGCATGGTGGCTCAGTGGTTAGCAGTGTTGCCTCACAGCGCCAGGAGCCTGGGTTCAATTCCTTGGGATACTGTCTGCATAGAGTTCTCTGTGTGTCTGCGTGGGTTTCCTCCAGGTCCTCCGGATTTCTCCCACAGTCCAAGGATGTTCAGGTTAGGTGGATTGGCCATGGTGTCCAGGGATGTGCAGGTTAGGTGGATTAGCCATGGGAAACACAGGGTTATGGGATTGGGTGAGGAGTTGGATCTAGGTGGGAGCTCTTCAGAGGGTGAGTGCAGACCTGTTGGGCCAAATGTACCCTTTCCACACTGTAGGGATTCTGTGTAGGGTTGTGTAAATGGTGCATTGAATTCAGTAGGTTTGCTGCAGGAAATAATACGCAAAATTAGATTTAGAACAAGGTGCTTTATAAATGATGATTTCTACAGAGCCCTGAAATTCTGTATTCTCATTTATGATCTTGACAACTGCTCATCTCTGTGATTAGAGTCATATCTGTTACGGTTTCAGGCCCAGGTATGCCACAGAAATATTTACTAACCTTGCCTTGATTTTAAGACAATGTCTCGTTGACTTCTGTAGGTCCTGGATTTGGGATTTTTGCTGTCACTCATCTCCTCCTTCCAGTGATGTCCCTCTGGCTTCAGCGTAACCATGGAGATCAATCCTACTGGGAAATGGCTGCTGCCAATTTTAAACATGCCATTGGTCTGTCCTCGGAGCTGGTGATGGAGCATATTCACTGCTTTATCCAATCGGGTAGGACTTTGTGTACTGGTGGAATAGACCTCACTTTGGTGGATAAGTTAGAAAAGAGAAAGCAGCCAATAATGCTTGCAAATTGTCATGGTTAGCCTCGCAGTGATGTAAATGACCTTCCTGAATGGTGTGTGTATAGTCTCTGTTTACTATGGAAAGGTTTGGATTTAATTATCTGAGCTAACTTCAAAGTAGGGGAAGCAGTGCTGTGACTGGTTATAACACCAGAAGGTATAGGAGCAGAATAAGGCCATTCAGCCCATTGAATCTGCTCTACCATTCAATCATGTTTCTCAATTCCATTTTCCTGCCTTCTCCCTGTAACCCTTGATCCCCTTACTAATCAAGAACCTATCTATCTCTGTCTTAAACACACTCGATGACTTGGCCTCCACAGCCTTCTCTAGCAATGACCTCCACAGATTCACCACCCTCTGGCTGAGGAAATTCCTCCTCATCTCAGTTCTAAAGGATCAACCCTTCACTCTGAGGCTGTGCCTTCAGACCCTAGTCTATCCTAATAGTGCAAACATCTTCTCCATACCCACTATATCCAGACCTCTCAGTATTCTGAAAGTTACAATAAGGTAGGCCCTCATCCTTCTAAACTCCATCGAGGACCCAGGCTCCTCAAACGCTCCTCATATGATAAGCTCTTCATCCCTGGCGTCATTCTCGTAAGCCTCCTCTGGACCCAGTCCAACATCCTTCCTTAGATACGGAGCCTGAAACTGCTCACAATATTCCAAATGCTTTCTGACAAGAGCCTTATACAGCCTCAGCAGTACATTCCTTTTGAATTCTAACCCTCTTGAAATGAATGTTAATATTACAATTGCCTTTGTGCCGCCAACTAAACCTGAATGTTACCCTAAGAGAATTCTGAACTCGGACTCCCAAGTCCCTTCGTGCTTCAGATTTCTGAAGTCTTTCCCCATTTAGAAAACAGTCTATGCCTCTATTCTTCCTATCAAAGTGCATACCCTTACACTTTCCCTCACTGTATTCCATCTGCCACTTCATTGCCCACTTTGCTAGACTCAAGTGCATCTGCATCCTCCCCGCTTCCTCAACACAACTTGCTCCTCCGATCTTTGTGTCATCTACAATGTTAGCAGCAATGTCCTCAGTTCCTTCATTCAGATTGTTGATGTATAATGTGAATAGTTGTAGTCCCAACACAGACCCCTGCAGAACACCACTAGTCATTGGCTGCCATCCTGAAAAAGACTCTTTTATCCCTGCTCTCTGCCTTCTGCCAGTCAGCGAATCCTCTATCCATGCCAGTACCTTGCCCCAATGCCATGGGCTCTTTTCTTAGTTACTCAATTGTAATACCGTTATATCTGATTCCAGCTTCTCTTTCTCAAACTGCCGGGTGAATTCTATCATATTGTGGTCACTGCCCCCTAGGGGTTCCTTCACCATAAATAAATCAAGTCTGCCTCACTACATATAACCAAAGCCAGAATTGCCTGCTCTCTAGTGGCCTCTATCAAAAGCTGCTCCAAAAAAACACCGATCTCATAGACATTCCACAAATTCCTTTTCTTGAGATCTGCTACCAAACTGATTTTTCCACTCCACCTACATGATTATTGTAGTAGTGCCTTTTGTACAAGCCTTTTCTATCTCCTGATTAATTTTATGCCCTGACTATTGCTCGGAGTCTGTACACAACTCCTATCAGGGTCTTTTTTACCTTTGTATTTCCTCAACTTTACCCACACAGATTCTAAGCCTTCCAGCTCTGTATCACTTTTTGCTATCGATTTAATTTCATTTCTTACTGACAAGGCAACCCTGCTCGCCCTCTGCCGATCTGTCTGTCCTTTCAATAGGACCCGTGACCATAGATATTTACTTCCCTGTCCTGAGCCCCTTGCAGCCACATCTCTGTGATACCCATAACATTGTACCTGCCAATTTCAGTCTTCGCTACAGGCTCATTTACCTCTTTTCACAAACTGTGTGCATTCAAATACAGCAGCCTCAGACCTGCATTCACTGCCCCACTTCTCATAGTTGTCCCCTTATCTGCTGTGCCTGAAGTTAGATTCCTGACCCTTTCCATACTCTCTGTCCTGTTCCTTGTTCTGGAAATTTTAATAACCTCTACTGAGTCCTCCCTACTTTAACTATTTCTATACCTTGCCGTGCAATAGAACCCTACCCTTCCCCACTTTTTAGTTTCAAGCCCACTCTTAAGCACAAAAAGAGCTCACCAGGGTGGATGCAGGAGGAGCATGTTCCCTGGCTGAGAGATCAAGAATCAGCTGACGCTGTGTGAGATTAAGGACCAGGCCATTTAGGACTGCTATCAGGAGGAACCGTTCCACTCGCATGATGGTGGGTCTTCGGAATGCTGTTTTCAAACATTACCCTTCTGCCAGTTGAACTAAATGACAAATTATCTCTTTGTGGGAGTTTGCTGTGTGCAAATTGGCTGATGCATGTCATACAGTATAACCACATCAACTGAGGGTCAGTCAATATGTCTATATAAGTTATCAATATGGGTTCAAATCCCAATTCAGCTTGTTGACCAGGGAAAAAGTGAGCATAACGTGGTGTAATCGGTTGATAACCAGCCCTTCTGACACTTCCCCATTATCCTCTAAAGGCAACACATGTTGTTTGAAGATACAAAGCAAAGAGTTAGGGCTTGTCAGAAATAATTCATTGGCTGTAAAGTATTTTGGAATATACTGAGGTCATATATAAATCCAAATCTTCCTTCTTTCTCAAATTAGAAAAACATCCCTCTGAGTAACATATCAACAGCTTAAACAGCTCCTTAGTGCCTCACCTTGGGTGAGGTGAGAAAAGACCAAATCGCCATCACAGAATTTCTTTTTCCTTTTCAATTTGTTGTAGATATTGGCTACGAGAACAGCATCAACTCCATGCTGAAAGACCTCCTGAAGCTCCTCGTGTCCTGTATCGCCGAGCCCACAGAAACAATCTCCCGAGTTGGCTGTTCATGTATCAGGTAAGAATGGGCGAGGCTTCACACACAACTTAGCACCTCAACTGAGTTCATTTGTAGTAGACACCACCAGCTCCTATCTCTTTGTGCCATTTCTGTAGACAACTTGAAGGTTGAGTTTATTTGCGATACAACACTAGGGGGAACTCTTACTGCACATTTGTAATGTCAGCCACCATGTTGAAGGGAAGAGGTGAATATTGAAGAGATATAATAAAAAATTTCAGTCATTGACATTACCAACTTCCAAGTAATTTTCAAGGCCGTGGAAAATTGATTATAAATTTTCTTTTTTTGGTAAAAATCAATAAAAAAAATTATGAATTGAGAAGAGCCTGTGACAGGCATAATATATCATGGAGGATTCAGAGCAGTATCCTTGGGATTATGCATCTGTGTTAGTGTTACAAAGACTTGATAGACTGGGCCTAGGTGTAGCATTTACATAGGAACTAGGAGCAGAAGTAGGCAATTCAATCCATCAAGCACTTTTGAATCCAATGATCCTCATCTTGGCTTTCATTTCAATCCAGTGATCTCAGTATGATCATGGTTGATCTCATGTGGGCCTCAACTCTTGATCTCATCTGGGCCTCAACTCTTGATCTCATCTGGGCCTCAACTCTTGCTGCCTGCTCTTCCATAATCTATCTCTGCCTCCAATTTATTCAATACCCCAGTGTCCACTGCCGTCTGCAGTAATCAATTCCACACATTCATAAACCTTTGGGAGAAGTAATCCCTTCTAATCTCTGTTCTAAAACTGCCACCCCTTATCCTAAAACTATGTCCTCTCATTCTAGATTTCCCCACGTGAGGAAATATTCACTCTGCGTTAACTTTGTCAATTCCCTTTAGCATCTGACGTATCTCAATTGGATCACCTGTCAACCTTCTAAACTCTAGGGGGTACAGGCCTAAGCTGCTCAATCTCTCTTCATGACACAACCCTGTGTAAGACATATTTATTCTGCTTATTTTCGTGATCTTATTTAATAATGCAGCACATATTAAGTTAACTGGTGTTTTATGCAGGGGTGGGTATTGATCCTGTTATAGTTGAGTAAAATTTCTATGTATCTTATTCACCTGGTTTATCCCAGAGTAGTACAAAGATAACTGTAGTTCTAAATCCACACAGTTTAGTCACAGAAATTTAAATTCTTATAACTTATATGTATGTCTTTGCAGGACCCTCAGGTCTAGAATCCTGTCTGAAGCAGCCATATAACTCACTAGTTCCAGCTGCCACTTTAAGCAATCAAGCAAGACAGAAAGATTGGTGATCAGACTACCATAATCAAACACAGATGCAAACAAGCCATGAAACACTGGAATTCCTTCTGTAGTAATTCAGGTGTAGGAAAATTCCTTCTCACCAGCAGCATCAGGAACAGTCGCACATGGGCAGGTAGTGATGCGGACTGTGACAAGTGCTTATGCACAACTGTTGAATTGAATTAGCTTTATTATCACACGTACTCAATTGACTACAGTGAAACGTTTACAGGTCGGCAATTATGGCGCCATCTTAGGTACAAGGTAGCTAGGTAGAGATTCTTCAGTACAAGTTCTGAAGAAAAAAGGATAGAAAAACAGAGAAATAAAAAGTCCAGCATTGCAGATTGTAGGAATAAATTAGAAAATAGAGAAATAAAAAGTTCAGAATGACAGTCCTTCCAAACCAGTCCAACACTGGCACCTAGCCTCCAGTCCGTGCTGGGCATGACTCCAGACTGCATCGGGTTTCACCTCGAGGCTGTCGAGACTGGGTGACTGCTCTGGAAGCACCTCGAGGCGGGATTCCACACTGAGGCCACACCAGACTGAGAAACTGCCATGGGCCGCTGAAAACCACCATGCTGGACCAAAAGACCATCATGCAAGGTGGGCAGACCGCCATGCTAGGGTGGGAGACAACCTTGCTGCGTCCGCGCTGAGGCCAAGAGTCCCAGGCCAGAGTTCAGGACATCCTCTCCGAGAAGAAAGAAGAGAGAGGGAAAAAAAGCACAAAAGAGAGATAAAAGAGAAAAAAAAATGGGTGGAGCAGATGGGCTCTGGCTGAAGGGTCCTACTCCCTGCCATCTTGGATCCTTTGCAACCTTGCTTTCTTTGTTCCTGCAACCCTCCCTATCAGTGGCAGATGTTACAGAAGTACCAGGCTTTTCTCCCTCATTCTACACCAGCTTCAGGGGATACTCTGTAGATAACTCACTGAGTGGGAGTAGGGTCCACAATGGTTTTATGTACCCCAACAACATTGCCTTCAATACCACGTACCATTAACCTGTAACAGCAGCATTGTACCGTCTCCCATCAATTTCTTGATGGGTACATTAGGTTAAATGTCCGCTCACTCATTCAATTCTCCAGGTAATAAAGCCTTACAAAACAAAAAGTGCTATGTTTTATTTCTGAAGAGATAGAACTGAATTTCTAGTAAACATGTACCAGAGGCATGTGGGAAGGCAGTGGCCTGGTGGTATTATCACTGGACTGCAAATCCCACCAAGGCAGATGGTGGAATTTGCATTCAATAAAAAAAACTGAATTAAGAGCTGGCCAATTGTCGGAAAAACCCATCTGGTTCACTAATGTCCTTTAGAAAAGGAAACTGCCATCTTTACGTGGTCTGGCCTACATGTGAATCCAGACGCACAGCAATGTGATTGATTCTTAACTGCCCTCTGGGCGATTAGGGATGGGTGATAAATGCTGCCTGGCCAGTGATGCCTTCATCCTGTGAATGAATAAAGAAATCCTGATTAGTCCACACTTGCACACAATTCTGCTTGCTGTTTTAGAAAGGTGATACTGGAGAGGAAAAAAAGTAGAAACATTTACAAGGATCATACAAGAAATGGGAGATTATAACTATCTGGAGAAGATGAACGAATTGGGCTTCCTGTCTTGAAAAAAGAAAGCTAAAGGCTGAACTAAAAGAGGCCTTTAAGAGTTTACACTAACACTATACATAGAGAATGGCTTCTGTTCTGGGGATGAGCAAAACCAGAGGCCATCAGCATAGGATAATCAACAAGAAATCCAATCCAGAAGAATTTGCTTACACAGGAACTGGTGAGATTGTGGAACTTGCTATGACAGGAATGTTAATGTTAACTATTACCTTGTTTCTTTATTTTTCTATTTATTCTATGAATGTAATCCCTAACTTTTTAACTTTGTTTCTTTTACTACCTTGGACATAAGTTTTTTGTACCTAAGTACCTTTGTACCTAAGATGGCACTGTGTGTGGCAACATTATACACTTTTAACTGTAATTCTGCACTTGTGTACACGTGACAATAAAAGTCTAAATCTAAAAAATGTGAATAGAGTAGATGCAGTTCAAAGGAAACAGGGTGTGCATTAAAATAAAGAGTGAAAAGAGGAAAGAAGGCAGGAGACTTGAGTGCAGCATAAGGACCTACATGGACTAGTTGGGCTGAATGGCCTGGTAATGCGCTGAATGTCCTCTGTACTCCTATCCAAAGCATTTTTATTTATTTTTATTCATTTCCTTTTCCTTATTTTTATTTAATTTATTCTATCATGAGATGTGAGCGTTGCTGACTGGGCCAGCATTTATTGCCCATCCCTAGTTGCCCTTGGGAAGGTGGTGATGAGCTGCCTTCCTGAACTGCTGCAGTCTGTGTGCTGTAGGTTGCCCCACAATGCGGTTAGGGAGGGAATTTCATGATTTTGATCCAGCAACAGTGAAGGAACAGCGATATATTTCCAAATCAGGATGGTGAGTGGATTGGAAGGGAACTTGACTTGCAACAGAATGAGGGGGCTGAATAGGAAATAACCATGTGTGTGCTGCAGCTCATGGGAAGGGGGAGTGTGTAGGTACACCCACAGTGCTCCATAAACGTTACCATTCGCACCATTAAAATGAAACTAAACTCAAAGCTGTAAACTTTTACAGTGAGGAGTTTACAAGTTCTTTTAAAATTCTTACACAGGATGTGTGCGCTGTTTGTAAGTCCGGCATTTGATGCCCATCCCTAATTGCTCCTGAACTGAGTTGCTTACTTGGCCATTTCAGAAGGCAGTTAAGAGACATCCACATTGTTCTGGGACTGGAGTTATGTAGGCCAGACCAGGTAAGGATGCCAGATTTCCCTCCCTAAAAGGGATTAGTGAACCAGATGATCACTTCCCGGAGCCATTAATGATAGATCCATGATCAACTAGGACTCCCATTCAATCCCAAATTGATGAGCTGATTTGAAATTCCAGCACATGTCTTGGACCCATGCTCCCAGAGCATTCACCTGTACCTGGCTTACTACACTGGTGACATTGTCACTGCACCACCAGGATGATCCTCATTGAATTTCTCTTATATGATGCTCATTTGATGATTTTCACAGATTAGCATTTGGAGTCCGGGTTACGTGTTAGATTCTGTGCGAAGCTTTTGAGTTGCCTTGACTGTGCATCTCCGCTATTCTGCTGTCTACCTTTCACTGTCATCTCTGTTTCAGGTACGTTCTGGTCACAGCCGGACCTGTGTTTACTGATGAAATGTGGAGGTTGGCCTGTTGTGCCCTACAAGATGCTTTCACAGTCACACTGGAACCAGTAAAGGTAGGTCCAATAATTTTGTTTGCTTTGGCACTCTGGTTATTGAATGGCTGAGACCACACAGTACTACCAGTGACAACTGTGTAGCACAGTCTCTGCTCATATTCCCTGGAATTTAGAAGGTCAGGGTGTGTTTTAATCAAAAGTTTCAAGACATTAAGATGAAGAAATATGGTGGTGTCACAACTCACTGGAGTAACAGGATGCAAACCAAGCTCCCCCCTCATTTGTAGATTTGCCACAAAGGTTAAACATGTTAAAGTATGTATAAAATGTTCTCCAATTTACCTGATTTTCAGACTTGGTTGACAGAAAACTCAGTTTCCAAATTTAACAAGAATTACTATTCATTACAAATAAGTAGATTTCAACTACAGACAGGGAAAAGACATAACTCATGGACAGAGGAGGAAAAACAGATCAAAAGTCTTTGTTCACAAATTCTGTTGAGCTGGTTCTTGTTGGTTTGAAAGTTATTTTCTCAGCTTTCCTTTCCCAAATGCTTCTACTAGTTTGCAAGAGGCATCAGGTGGCTGGGTTCACTTGTAAAATGTCTCTGATTTATCCGATTAAAAGTCACAGTAACTGCTAAAGGAAAGGATGGACCAGATGTCTTCAGGTTTAAAGTGAGCTTTGACTGCAGAGAGCAAAGAAACAGCGCCTGAGCTGGTGGAGATCAAAACTCTTCTCTGAAACTTGTTCCCGGTTCCAAACTGTTCAGTTACCTGAGACCCAATTCACATAATGTCCGAGTGTCTCAGTTTTATGCAATTTGTAGGCAGGAAAAGGACCCTTGTCATCAACTGGTCACTAGCCCATAGACCAATCAATTTGTTGTCACCCAGGCTTATCTGAATACTGAACCCCCTCGACTCTAGGTCAACCCTAACCACTGTAATTATTGCTTGTTCAAACAGCTTTGTAAAACAAGCTTGCCTAGTTTCAGATTACTTCAAACCATGCAGCCATCTTTTAAAACACTAGTTTTAAAACTGTTTTTTCACAATTTCAAAAACACAAAGGTAAAAAAGCATGATCTTTGCAGTAGTAGATAGCGAGAAATTCTTTCTGCACTCAGATTAGGATGGGGTTCAAAAATTAGACCAAGCCTTTCCGCAAGTGGTTTTGGAAACACTTCTGCACACAAAGGATGGTATAGTCATCACAGTATGGAAGCAGGCCATTCAGCCCATCAAGAATACACCAGCCCTTTGAAGAGCAGGCCATTTGGTCCATACCAACCCTCCGAAGCGCATTGCACCCAGACCTACCCTATCCCTGTAGCTCTGCATTTCCCATGGCTAACCCACCTAATCTACACATCCCTGGACACTATGGGCAATTTAGCATGGCCAATCCACCCAACCTGCACATCTTTGTATTGTGGGAGGAAACTGGAACACCTGGGGAAATCCCAGAAGTTTGGATCTTTCTTCCCCAGTGGCAAGACAAACAGATCAATTATTAATTTTAAATGTGAGATTGTTTTGTGGAGTTAAGTCACAGATCAATCTGATCTCATTGAAAGGTGGAATACCTCCAAGGGGTGAAATGACATACTCTAGATCCTATTCTCTTAAGCCCCTACATGTAACAGTAACAGAAAATGTTTACATTTATCACTTCAATGTCATTTTTAAAAAGTCTAATTTGTGTCACAGAGGCGAAAATAACCAAACGCTGAGCGAAATGCTGCAGATGCTGGAAATCTGGAATAAAAACAGAAAACCCTGGAGAAACTCAACAGGTCTGGCAGCATCTGTGGAAAGAAAACAGAGTTAACATTTCAAGTCTGATATACTCTTCTTCAGAACTGAAAGGAGCTGGAAATTGTTGCTGTTGACAGAGGGGGAGAAGGACTGAGTGGAACAGAATGTGAGGATGCCAAGAGTTATACTAGGCTTGAAACTTTAGCTCAGTTTCTCCCTCTACAAAGGCTGCCAGCACTTACTGTTTTTAAGTCTGGATGTTTCACCTCTTCTGGTTTCAGTCACTCTGACTACCTTGCAGGGAGTCCCTGTGGCCTTAAATTGAGTTAATGAACCGTGAAAAGTTACATACTAATCTCTTATCTTTTCAATCTTTTCATAAGCAAAGGGTACTGGACAGGGCATGTTTATGGCTCAGTGATGAGAGATTGCTAACTTTTATCTTCCACAGTCAGGGAACATTTCCAACGTAGAAGTGTTCTAGATTGATTTTGATGTCCCATTGTTCTCTTAGGATGCTGCATTGAGTGCTCCTGTGGTGCAGTGTTAGTGTCCCTGTCTCTGAACCAGGAGACCTAGCTTCAAGTCCCACCTGCTCTGGAGGTCTATGTTAACATCCCTAAGCAGGTCGATTAGAAAATGTCTTCAACACACTTCAAACTGGGGCTTTGTTTTGAGAACGCCATTAAGGTATATATGGGATATTTTCCCCATTTAATAGGAACCGAACAGAAATAGTGAGAACAAAGGCACACTTTGGGCCCTTTGCTTTTCCAACATTGAAGAAAGATGTAACAAAAATTGGAGATTTATGCTATTATAATGAATGGTCACCAAAAAATTGAACTAATTTTCTTACTAATAAATAAATAAGGTTGAATGGAAACACCTAGACTCTTATTCCAGAGACCCAGGTAATGTGCTTGGGACTTGGGTTTGAATCCTGGCAGATGGTGGGATTTGAATTCAGTACGGATCTGGAATTAAGAGTTTAATGTTGACTATTATCAATTGTTTAAAAAAAGCCGTCTGGTTCACTCATGACCTTCAGGGAAGGAATCTGCCCTACATGTGACAATGGGATTGACTCTTAACTGCCTCTTAGGGAAGGACAATACTACATTGAACCCCACATCCTGTGGATAAGCAAAAGAAAAAGTATCTCTAGCAGAGAAAAACATCCTAAAGTGCTTCACAGGAGCTTTACCCAAACAACATTTGACTCCAAACCACCCAACGTTGGCTCATGGGTGGTTTAAGACGGGTGACCAAAAGAGTGGTCAATGCAGTTGGTTTTAAGGATTGTCTTAGAGGAGGAAAGCAATTTGAGAGAGGGAGTAAGAGTTTAGGGCTTGGAAACTGAAGGTAGGATCCCTAAGGGGGAAACAATTAAAGCTGAAGTGGTCACAATATCAGTTAAAGATGTTGAAGATATTAAGAATGACGATGGAAAGGATTAAATAAGATTTGGTCTTTCCTCAGCCGCAGGTAACAGGGAGGAGAATTCAGTTTACTACTAATTATTACTGACTGACATCTGTATCCATGGCAACTCACCATTACCTGAAGAGCTTTGAGATGCTGTGCTGGGTGAACGCCAGCGTCATCCTCTTCAATGCTCCACGTGGCTGTTTGGGATTGTACAGTGCTCCTCACCTTGTTTTATTTCTTGCCTTTCAGAACCTGCTGGCCTGTTTCCAGAGCGGCTCAGACAGCTTCAGTGGAGATGCTTGTGAGGTGAAGGTGGCAGCCCCTTCGCATTCCGCCAGCGCCGAGGCTGAGTACTGGAGAATCCGGGCTATGGCACAGCAGGTATTGTGCCCACACAAGCCTTTGTCATCCAGGCCAGGCCAGAGTGTGGCACAGGTGCTAAATATTCTCTGGATTGGGCCAAAGAATTCGTAACTCCACCTCGTTATTGGGATTGAAAATGAAGCAGTAAAGGCCATTCAGTCCCTCTAACTTGTTACCCCATTCAATGAGATCATGGCAGATCCCTGTCTTAACTGTATTGGAGTTTAGAAGAATGAGAGACGACTTCATTGAAACATACAGGATTCTTTGGGGGGCTGGACAGGGTAAGCACGGAAAGATTGTTTCCCATTGTGGGAGAGTCTAGGTCCAGAGGGTGCAATCTCAGAATAAGGTGTCATCTATTTAAGACAGAGATGAGGAGCAATTTCTTCTCTCAGACAGTAGTGAATCTGTGGCGTTCTTTCACACAGAGGGCTGAGGAGGCTGGGTCATTAAGTAAGCTCAAGGCTGGGATAGACAGGTGTTTAGTCAGCACGGGAATCAAGGGGAATGGGGGAAAGGTAGGAAAGTGGAGTTGACGATTATCAGATCAGCTATGATCGCAATGAATGGCAGAGTAGACTTGATGGGCTGAATGGCCTACATCTGTTCCCACATCTTAGGGTCTTAAGGCCTTAACTCCATCTACCCATCGAGCACCTTTTCTACTCTTGTGTAGGAAATATCTATTGATTGCAGATTTAAAATGATGAATTGAATGACCATTCTCTGTTTTTTGTGGGTGAGGTTTCTACCACACTTCTATCTTCCTTTCAGCAAAGAGGTCTTTGCTAACTCACGTCCTGAAGGGCTGACTCTCATTTTAAGGACATGTTCCCTTGTACTTATACTTCCCGTGCAAAGAAAGCGTTCCTGACTGTCTACCTGATTGAAATCCCTAAAGCCCTAGTCAAATCCTCCTCCAGTCTCTCCTATCTCAGTGAATTCAAGGCTGGTGCTCTTTCAGAAATAAAATATTTTGATTGGAGGGATTTCCTAAGGCTTTGCAGGAATGTTTCTGAGCCGGGCTGGATTGACTGGGATTATTTTCCCCAGAGCGATAGAGGTTGAGGGGTGACCTTATAGAGGTTTATAAAATCATGAGGGGCATGGATAAAGTGAATAGCCAAGGTCTTTTCCTCAGGGTAGCATCGTCCAAAACTAGAGGGCATTGGTTTAAGGTGAGAGGGGAAAGACTTAAAAGGGACCTGAGGGACAATTTTTTCACACAGATATTGGTGCGTGTATGGAATGAGCTGCCAGAGGAGGTGGTAGAGTCTGGTACAATTACAACATTTAAAAGGCATCTGGACAGGTACATGAATAGGAAGGGTTTAGAGGGATATTGGCCAAACACAGGCAAATGGGATTAGTTCAGTTTTGGAAACCTGATCGGTATGGAAGAGTTGGGCTGAAGGGCCTGCTTCCAAGCTGTATGGCTTCATGACTCTATGCTGCTTGACTGTGACAGCATGCAATGACCCTTCTTCAGAACATTCTAAAGAAGGGTCACTGGTCTCGAAATGTTAACTCTGCTTTCTGTCTTCACAGGTGCTGCCTGGCCTGCTGAGTTTCTCCAGCAGTTTCTGTTCTTGTTTCAGATTTCCAGCATCCAGCAGCTCATTGTTTTACTATAATCAGACTGAAATCTTCTTCTCCAGGTCTTTCTGCTAGACACCCAGTGTTCACCCAAAACCCCCAGCAACAGGGAAGGTTTTGAGCATGCTCAGTCCTGCGTGTTGATCATCGAGCTCCCACCGGATGAGAAACACAATGGCCACACTCAGAAGAGGTAAAGAACCCCTGGACACCCGTTGGTGAAGGTGCCGGTGAGATGGTTAGACAGGCTGCTGGCTGATACTTTCACGCAATGCATCTTCCTCCCTACAGTCCTGTCTATAGTTTACAGTTTTTCACCTCAAGTCATTCCCCCTGCTCCAATGACCAAAGCGACAAGTGGTAAATATTCCAGTAGAAATTCGGAACGTTCAAAGATCTGGAATATTTATAAACTCGAAAGAGGCACAAACTTCCGTGACAGTAAGAGTAATTTCAGAATCTTCTTTTTGGATTACACACAGCAGAAGGTGTTATTTTCTGACAGCCAGGGGCATGCGCAGTAGCTTTGAAATCTCAGAATTAAATTGAAACAGGAAGTGTTAACAAATGGGAAAATTGTTTTAAAAAAACATAGTGAAAATGTAATCAGAGATAAGAATCCCCCTCGTCCTCACGTACCACCCCACCAACCTCCGGATCCAACGCATCATCCTCCGACACTTCCGCCATCTGCAATCCGACCCCACCACCAAAGACATCTTTCCCTCCCCACC